AATAATTATTTAGTATATATTGATATAGATTTAAATTGCAACTTTTATCATTACCGGTATACTATCATGAACTATTTTTATGATTAAATTATTAATTTTTTCTATTGTTTTAAACCACAGTGAACAATCTATAAAACAAATTTCATTAAGAAGATTATTGAAAATATGGTACTGAATTTGAAAATTGTTTATATATATATTTACAAAATTTCTTCAATCGACCTTTGAATATTATATTTTAACAAAATTATTTAAATTGAGAATTAGGCCATTAATTTAATGAAGTCACCTAATTCCCAATTTAAATAATTGTATGATCCAATCCAATAATTCAATGATAAACAACTTTTATTGTTTTACTTTGTATCCGTATTTAACTATACATTATTCACTGTTATTAGATTTCTATTAATTACTATTATAAGTATTTCATGGATTATAAATGCTGGTATAGTGTGACACCTATAGTATAGACACCACTGCTGATATACTGTGGTGTCTTTTATATTGGAAACACACTCACTAATCTAGCTCTATATTGGCAGCAGTGAGAAAATACTGCAATTGCTTGAAAAGTGGAGACATATTAAAAAACATTATGTAATGAACTATGCAAGCTATGCTATATAAAATATAAAAAAAGTATATATGGTATTTTTTAATGTAAAAGATACAGTACATTTCCTAAATATTGCTGAACCCAAGACCCTTCATGGGTTGTAGTGGTATAGGAAAGAAAAAAAAAACTATTATGAGATAAATTAAGAAGAACATATTTTTAACAATACATTAGTTAGCTTACCTATAATTGCTGTAAGGAAGAAGTAGTTTTACTTACAGTACTGCCCTACATGAATACATTTTTTTTTCTTTTCATATCCAGGCTTGTCATACTATAGCATTATTATAGTAACAAAATAATCTGTTTTTCATTTTTTTTTTTTAATTTGATCATTCAATCGACTCTCATATGATCTCACATTTCTCATTTCCAGTGATCTCAACATAAAACTTATTTAAACTAAAAAAAATAAAAAATAAACTGCAGGTGTTTAACGGACCAGGAATATTTAAAAAAGTCGGGAGATTTTATGAAAACGAATTATACCAACTAGGTGGAGCAAGCACCAATTTGCTCTTATGTTTCAGATTCATTGTTGGTCACAACAAATTTACTTAATAGTGATATATACACAAATATGTTGTGATTTTTTCTGAATATCGATCTCCTAGCTGTGGTATTCTAAAGACTGCTTTGCACACCATTATCTACTGTTGACAGTGGGCCAGCCCACTTCAATGTCACCAAAAGAGGAGCAGCTCAGTTGGTTATGGAAGACCATTGGATTGAGGAGGCATGGAAGAAAAGCTGACTCAAGACAGTTGAAACATTATAATTTTTACTTATAATAGTGAGAGGTTATGTAGATATTTGTAAAATCGTACTACTGCAAACCTATATGGCCTAAAAGGTACATTAGGGTACAAATAAATAAAAAACAAAACAGATTTTTATTGATCATTTGTAACAATTATTTTTAAGTAGTAATCATAATTTCTTAAATTTAATATTAGTAGTATTACATCTGTTCATTACAAACTGTATTACAACCTGTTCATTCTCTTCCTCAGGTTTGCCATCAATTAATGGTTATAAAAAGCATTGGTAATTTTTAACTATATTAATACCAAAAATGTTTAAACATTCTAATTTTAGAGATGATATTTGCATTATTTTCAGTGCAAAGAATCTGCTTTAGTATTTTTATTTTTTTGTGAATGAGAAGATGTTCTCCTCACAAAAATATATTATAGTAATTAAATTAATTTATTTGAAATGTTATATATTATACATAATGATTGGAATTAACAGAAAAGTCTGGTGTGTCCTCTCACATGACTTTCCTACCTATTTAAGAAAAGATTTTATATCTTTAAATATGTCCATTAAGAAACATAAAAAAAATTAAATTAATTTATTTTCCTGAAAATTGATCAAAGAAAAAATTTGAGTATGATTTCTTTCTTAAACTAAAGCAATGTCAACCGGTTTGTGGAAGATCAGTATAAAAAATCCAATACACTCCAATATTGCCAATCAAAAACTTTTTACCAGAGCCCAATTTTCTTAGACAATAATTTCTATTCAAAGTAGAGGAAATAGTGAAACTTGTGTGATTTTCTTATTTCTCTCTTCCATTTCTTGCACAAGGAGTTGAACTCATAATCTTACATAACAAATTGAATAGCTGTATTTTTATTAATATTTGTCCGTAATGATTGATTTTTATATAGTTTTGTATGGTATTTCATCACCTTTAAAAAAAAAAAAGGCTAAAAAGTGTTTTTCGGACTAAAAAAAGAAAAAAAAAAAAAGCAACAAAATCGGTCTATGAGTTCCTGAGATAATTTTGGCACAGATAGACCAATGGCTGGAAATGTGTTTTTCGGACTTGGGGGCTCTGAAACGTAGTGATCCGTCGAAAACCGCACATTGGAAATTTGACCCATTCACAAAACTGTCCTTACCTAGTATATTTAGGAAAGTAAAAATAATATAAAAATTAATATTAAATGCATCAATAAAAACATTAATGTATTTACACTTATAGTGTATACATTCATTGTCATAAATGTTTACGCACTCACATGTGTACTCACTTACCCCCGCATATCTATGTAAATTTAAAATTATTGAATACCATGTACATAGCTCTCCCATAATCTGGCTTACTTTTAAAGAGCATGATTTAAAAAAAACATTTATCTATTAGTATTTATTTATTTGTAAGTACAGAAAACATTATCCTAGACATTAAAGAACTTAATTTAGTTTAAAAAAACAAGTGTTTTTACCTATAACTTGTCATTTACTCTTAATTAATTTTTATTTACATTTATTGTGTATTTGGTAAACATTGCCATTGTCAACTAATGTAATTTTAAAGAGATATGAAGGTTCATGGTATCATATTTTTATCTTTCTTAATTAAGCATCAATGAATATGGTTATTCATTAATATGTTAATAAATTTCTCTGATTTCTTGTTTACCAATTTTTTTCTTTGATTTTACTGATCTGGAAGATATATTATCCCCTTACCAGATTCGTTCCACTTATTTTTTTTTTTGACCAAACCTATTCTAACCAGAGTGAAAAAGTGGAGATTCCTTCCATGAAATTAATTAATTTCAACACCCTAAAATTAATTTCAACCCCCTAGGTCAGATTGGAACCATTTCTGTCAGTCATGGGCTATTATTTTACTATTTACTGCCTTTAGATCTATGTTATTTTTATTATTTAGTGAATTGGTCATTTCTATTTTCCCCTATCAACCTATGGCCAACTGTTTTGTTTTGGTTTCTTTATGGTTATGTGGAAATGCCCTTTTATTAATGTTGGATTGTTTTGATCTGCGTCCCTTGCTTATCTGTGACCCTTTGTTTTACATCTGGTGTTTTTCTTTTATAAAGTTCTGAACTTTATAGTGTTTCATATCTCTTCCATGACTCAAAGGAAAATTAAGTGAGTACTTATTTAAATAAAGATACAAATGTCTAGTTTTGAAACTAAAATTATGATTTTTGTTACTATTATTGCCCATTATGCCAGTCACACTAGCATTGATCATCTACTCCAGTGGTCTCCAAACTTTTAGGCCTATGGGCCACATTGAGACCTCCACTAAGTCCCATGGGCTACATTGAGACCTCGACTAAGTGCCGTGGGCCACATTGAAACCTCCACTAAGTCCCGTGGGCCGCATTGAGACCTCCACTAAGTCCCGTGGGCCACATTGAGACCTCCACTAAGTCCCGTGGGCCACATTGAGACCCCCACTAAGTCCCGTGGGCTGCATTGAGACCTCCACCAAGTCCCATGGGCCGCATTGAGGCCTCCACCAAGTCCTGTGGGCCGCATTGAGACCTCCACTTAAGCTAGTGATGGAAAAGTTTGGAGACCTCTGGTATACCCAACACAGTGGCAACCAATTCAAGGAAAGTTGTGCCACATTAATTAATGTAAATTTACCTAACTATGAAATTTTGTTTTTTTCTCGATATAGGCTAACTTTGGACCATGAAAATATAACTTAGTATTATTTCCATTCCATTGCAAGGACCCTCATTTGGTCAAAACATTTCCTGAATTCGACTATATCTATAAAAACCTTGTTTGTTATATTTAGTTTAGCTATTTTGTTCTTAATCAGATCTGGATAACCTTTTATATTCTTAAGTCCCAGCACTTTCAAATATTTCTTATTTCATCTATTTTTATCCATATGTCAAATCTAAACCTTATATCCTAAAAATCTCATTCTTCTCTTTCTCATTGATGTCTCTTTATCCTCACCCCTTTTGTACAATTCAATGAGGAGTAATCCTAATTCTGTACTCCTCCTGTTTTTTCTTAGGGCTATATATATTTTGTAGAATTTACTATTTTTGTGAGCCCTACTGTTTTCGCACTGTACAATATGACCAGTTTCATTGTGCCTAAGTTTTGTCCAAGATAATTTCTTTTTGCCCCTAATCCTCATTAATTGTCAATCCCCTCCATTGTAATTTACCCATTCCCCTAAATACTAAAGTTGTTTCACTGTATTTAGTTTCCATAATTATTTTATTTATAATATAAGAATATTTTTTATTATAATGTTTTAATTTGTAATCTCAAAATCCAGCTAATTTTATTTTTCTATAAGCCACCACATATTACAAAATTATAATTGACAGATAATATATGGAAAAGAATGTTTGTTTGTTTATCTAGTTATATCATTTATAAAGTTTACATTTTGTATTACCATGAAAATATATACTAAAAGTCTCTCTGATGAAATGAAATATTTTCGAAAATATATCAGTACATCATGATTATCTATTATTATTGTTAATTTTCTATGATGTGTTATCTTTTTATTTATTTTTTCTTTTATTTGCTCAAATATATGCTAATATCCTACTAAATTTTCCATTACTTTGTCCTTTAGGAATGGCACAAAGTGGTTCACCATATCACGTTGCTGCCTCTGGTGAGATCAAGTAATCATTTATTCACATTATTCATCTTTTATCATTCATGCCTCTAAAGTTTAATCTACACAGGAGTGGGTACATCCAGCTTTCTTTTTATTATTAAATGTATTTAAACTTAGCAGATGTTTTAAAATATGTGTGTATATATAATATAATATATACACACTCACATAAACATAAACATACTCATAGTATGTATATACATAATGGTTACATTGATTGAAAATTGCTATTGTTTTAGATTTGTTTAAAAAATTAATAAACATTAAACAATTTTTATATAATATAATCATTTTTTTCTTGTTTAAAATAATTCCGATAGCATAATAATTAATTAATAAATTGAAATAGTGAGTGTGTATATTTATTACCATGCATAATTCAGATTATAATTACTTAAAATAATTATTTTACTGAAACAGGCAATTAATGTTTATAGTCAATCTTGTCTTTATAATAATCAATTTAAGAATTAGATTTATTATCAGTACTAGATATATTTTCTAGGATTATATACTTTTGAACATTGTCAATTTTATTTTCTTTATTATTTTTTGAAGTATTAAAATTAAGAAGTTATCTGAGAACTATTAGATGTTCAGTTTAAATCAAATACAAATTTATTATTCCTTTCAGTAATTAGAATTCAATTGACTACTTTTCAACTTATTAAAAATATTTTGGGTTTTAATGGCATCAAACATATACCTCTTATAAATTATTTATTTATGACAAGAGTGACTTAATGGTTCGTATGCATTACTTTATCTGAACAGTTATGTAACAATTATTGAATTATTAACTATAATACAGTATTTCTTTATTTGTTTTTGACTTGATTTATGGATTAAGAAAATTTTTATGAGAACAAATAATATTCCCGTGAAATATTTCTATCCAATCGTTATGATTAATGCTTGTAAAGATTTTTTAAATGCAGTATAGCACTTGAGGTAACAGAAAAAGCAAGGAATTAAATTTAATCGCCTCTTTGTAAGTTTTAAGGCTAATTTTATCGACATGAAAAAACAATCTATTTACTTGTTTCAATGTTAATAAATTTATTAATGTATATAGCTTTACATAATTAGTTTGTTGATTATAATTTATAGGATTTTTTTTTGTAATTATATTTTTTGGTTTCTTTTGTTAAACTAGCACTGATATTTTCAGTTTCACAAAAGTTAATTAATATTTTCAGATAAAATGAAATAGGGGATAAAAGGAGGAATAATAAAATGGCAAAATTATTTTAATGAGAGAAGAGATGTTTGGGGTGGCAGTTATAAATATCTTCCAATAGTGAAACTATTTATCAATTTGAAATTATTTATTTTCCTCCACCTCAGACATCTCTTTCCTCATTATATATACTGTCAATCATTGAATATCCAAAATTAATCTATGAAAACAATTACTCTTAACCAGAATGATCTAATTGAGTACTTATATATCAGTGCCATCTATATGTAGAAGTTTTTTTTTGGTATTTTATTAATATGTACCTTAGTTGAAATGATTTTATGGATTATGTAAATCTCATACTAAAATCCAGACAATAACATAACATTACCAACACGTTAAATTAAACTGTAATAATATTAGTATTCTTGTAAATACTATTATTAATATATTTATAAATGATAAAAAATATATAAGCTGAATATCTTATACAGGATCTTGTTAATGTAATAATTTTATCGATGTCATTATTTTGTGTATGTGATAACAAATATTCTAGTAAAAAATTATCAAGGCTCATTACTCTAGTCTTTTTGTTTAGTGGTTTATTGTATTACCAAGTAAACTGTAAAACTAATTAATTACAATACAGCATGTTTCATCAGGATTATCACAGGGCTATTTCATAGTTAATGAACGGCTGTTTTTTAAAAAATAATAGAATTATTGTATTATACTGTGGAATTATTATCATGACCTAATTATATTCTCCTTTTGCGTTTTTTTAAATTAAATTTTTTTCTTTTGGAAACAAAACAATGTAAAGGAAAAAAAAAATAACCCGATTTGAACTTGTTAATTTTTTTTTAAAATTATGTATTTATATTTTGATTTCCTGAAATTCATTGTATTTCAACTGTAAATATGTTCCACCAGAGCTATTGTATTTTTTTTTTCTTAATTACTAAGCTTTTTTAATTCAATTTTACTTTGCTGTAGTTTTTACTGATTTGAGTATAATTAAAATGTAAATTCAACTGCCTTTTGTTTTTTTAATTAACTTTATTTATGTTTGTAAATATTATAACTTATTAAATAATCTTAATATTGTTGTTTGTATGTTGTGTGCATGTGTTTATGGATTCATATACACACAAATATATTCACACATACGTTGGTATTTTATTGTATCTTTGTATAAATAAGTATTTTAGCTCTGCTAGTTCTTTCATTATTAAGATTGATGGAAGATGTATTTATAAACATTAAAGAGTCTATTGTAAATGTTTGAACTGCCCATGAACTTTTATATCAGCACCTTAAGAATAACAATTCTCTGAAAGCTTGTAGGATAGGTTTCATTATTTATTTTATATAGAAATGTTATGGTTGGAATTGCACTTACTAGAATTATATTAAATGTTATCAAGAGCTGTAAAATATTGAATTATTGTTTAGTTTGATACAAAAAGTTTTTTTTTTATTATATTCTTAATTTATATTAAAAAAGGCAGACTAAAAACCAAATAAAAAACATCACATATTCTTTATTTGTTTATAATTGGGTATTTTGTCTGTAGTGTCACTATGTAACACTTATTAACTATGATTTTTAAAAATTACATTTGAACCAATTAAAATAAAAAACTATGATTTGGTTGCTTAGGTTATTGTTTATTAGTTCATTTTTGTCTTAATGTACAATACACTAACTTAATTTAAAATGCTATATTTTTATTTCTAATATTCCTCATAGCTGATGTGTTGTTTCAATTTGCTTTATATATTACATTCCATCTGTTTACTTTTTGTATGAAACATACTTTCAATCACATGTTAATAAATATTTAACATATAAATAAAATGAAAATTCTTAATTAATAGATTAAGAAAGTTGTTGCAATGTATACATCATAGAAGAAAATATATAGATAATAACGAAGACTATGTTTATCTTATATTATGATCTATAAATTCAATTACCATTTATTTGCGTGATTTATCGACATATCATTTGACAATTTAGGGTCATCTGATGGAAATTTCTGTCACTATATTAACCCTCTAGCTATCCTTATTATAGGCGAGAATTAATTTCTGTTCTTGCCATTGTAAAAATCTAAAGGATTCTAGCACCAGTTTTAGATTGTTTTCTTTTTCTCTATTATAGTAACCTGTTGGAAGAGTGCTGTGATTGATAGGCCCCGTTTGGCTCTGTTTGGGGCCCTCGACTAGAGTCTAATGTGAGGCTCCCTTATCACAACATTTAAATAACTAAAAACCACATTAATATTTATTCAATAAATATTTTAGCTCTTCTTTCTAAAGAGTTTGTCTTATTTTCTTTCTTTTTCCTATTGCCAGTATGGTTTACATGTTTCATGTCCATACTATTCATGTCCACTGACTAATGCACTAATTATAGCTACATGCACTTTAGTCCAGTAACTTTGTCATGAAAAGGGGGAAGGAGTCTGATTTGGTGGTAGAAGGTTTCTTTTTTTTTCTTGTATGGGATGTGGCTGAGATGCAAAATCCAAATTTTCGATCTCAACAGACCCCTAGATCACTTTTGAATATCCCAAAAATTGTGAAATGTTCGCTCTTTTATTGGTGTTTGCCCATTTTAACTATGATGGGGCAGTTACAAACAAAAGACATTCTATAGACTTTTAAACTAACTACAATTTGAGACTGAAATAGGCTTAGTATACCTAATAGGTTTAACTACAGCTGTTCACAATTTGGCAAATTTTCAAAACATGAAAATTTTAAGCTAATTTCCTTGTTTGATCATGTACAATTCTCTTCATATCTTCAATAACCTGTCTAATATGGGTCAGTGAAATGAACATTTTTCAATTTAACATTTTGAAGTGTAGATGGGAGAGGGGAATGGTATGATGGGGGATGGGGAGGTCACTGTTCACAACCAGACTCCAGGTGGATTTGAGGATTTTCTTGAACCTTGTTCTTCGAATCAGAGGAAACACCTGTAATTCACATTTTGTTTACAAGTTCATTTACTACGTTTGTATACACTTCATGTCTCTGTTTGTTAAATAAATTATGTATTTCAATTTCGGTCATCTTTTTGTGAACAGTGAACTCCTCCTCTCCCACTAAACCTTCCTTTTCCACTTTCTCTTTCCACTCTTAGCTATCATATGTTAGAATATCATAAATTTTTTTAATAAAATTCAGAAGGATTTTTTTTTCAAAATTAAAAAATAAAAGTTTTGGTTTCCTAAAAAAAATATTATATTTACAATATCGTATATGAATATACGATATATGAAAAATATCGTATATGAATATACGATAAATGAAAAATATCGTATATGAATATACGATATATGAAAAATATCGTATATGAATATGAAAAATATAGTCATATCGTATATGAAAAGAAAAGGCATAAACAACCGAAAACTATGAGCCTGGTTTCAGCTGTCTAGCTCAAATAACTCTTGAGAAGTAACCCAAAACCTATTTTAAAAACGCACAGTTTTTCGAGGTTTTTCATTATTTAATAAAAATAAAAATCGAAAAAGGAGGCAACGAAATGATCAAGATCCTTCAAAATTTTTTCCAAAATATTTGGGATCTCATGCCGATACCAGAACAATATCATAATCCCTATTCACAAGAAAGGCAGCCAAAGCGATTACTATAGGCCGGCGGGAACTATAGGCCAATATGCCTCTCGTCAGTTGTGTACAAAATATACACAAGAATTCTTGACTGCGACTAAGGCATATAGTAGAGCAAGATCTAGAAGTGTAGCAAGCCGCTTTCAGACCAGGCAGACAGACCCAAGACTACATATTCTCACTACGGATGATTGAGGAAAAAGCATGGGACCGTGGCAAATTGGTGTATCTGGTATTTCTGGATCTTATGGCCGATTTCGACTCAGTTCTGAGACAGGAGATATGGGACTCACTAATTAGAAGAAGGGTACTTGTAAACTTGCTAAATCTATGTACCAAGACCCAAAGGGTATAATAAGGCTCAACGGACACACATCAGAACCTTTCCACTTTTATAAAGGAGTAAAGTAGGGGAATAATCTTAGTCCTCTGCTTTTTATCCTTCTCATGGATGAAATTTGGAAAGTGTATAAAAGAAGAACCCCAAGGGCTGTTGTGGGATATTGGAATTTGACACCAGTGTTGGTTCAAGCTATGTTGTATGCCGACGACATAATCCTTATAGCGGACTCATAAAATGCTCTACAGATATAATTGGGCGATTGGGAGGAAGAATTGAAGCTACTAGGGCTGCTTATAAACCTGTCTAAGAGCAATGTTATGTACGTTGGAAAAGATAATGTGGAGCCTAAGATGTTAAGTAATAGTAATGGCGAACCCCTAGAGATAACAAATGCATACCTGTATCCGGGGGCAATAATCAATGAAAATGGCAAAATAGACCAGGAGGTACTAAATCGGGTGATGAAGGCCAATGGAATATATTACCAGATAGCCAAAATAATCAGAAAACTGGAAGTAAGCAGAAAGACCAAAGTCACGATATATAAGGCGGTGTTACTCCCAGCGCTTCTGTATGGATCTGAAAGCTGGACAATCCTCGATAACCACATTGGCAGTATCACAGCAGCGGAAATGAGATTCCTCCGAAGAATAGCTGGCAAAATTAAGAGGGACTGTGTCAGAAATGACAGAATCCGTGAAGAATTGGAGGCGGCATCCTGGAAGAGAGGTAGTTAAAATGGTTCGGGCACATCTGCAGAATGGACGACACCCGAAGGGCCATATGGTTTATGGAAGCCAGAGCGAAAGGCAGAAGACCTCGTGGCAGGCCTAGACATATGTAATATGATTACATTGGAAAACTGGGCACAGCAAGAGGACGCACCATACCGGAGATGAGAAGACTAGCCAGGGATAGAGACCAGTGGGCAAGATGGGCTGGGACTGCAGCTCCACGCTTAACCGCACAAAGGAGCTAGACAAAGAAGAAGTCCGAAAAATCTATAATTTTGTATTTTTCTTTGTATTAATGCATTCAAAAAACAGCCAAAAAATAATCAAAATCCAAGATTCTCTTGGTCAGGCCCTGGTTGGTTTGACACGGAATGTCCCTAATACTTTTTATTCAACCTAAAACATGGTTGACTTAAAAATTACAAAATTTATAATGGTACTAGACCATAATTTGATCGATCAAAAATGTTATAAAATGGTATCATCTACTATGAACATCAATTTCGTGGTTTGGAGGAATTTTTACTTAAAGTGGAAATACGATAAATATAATTTCATACATATCTCGGCAACTATTTAGAGTTATTTAACATTGTACTGAGCAATCTTGGCTAAAAACCCCATAGTTTTCGAGATATTAAAAAAAAACTGAAAAAATATCAGTTTTCTGTCCTCTCCCTTCCCCCATCAAAACTCGACGCGGGATTCTTTGAAACTTTTTACCATTTATTATGGAGATGGTAACAAACAATTGCTGATGTTTCATCTTTATTTTTTGAATGTTGGGATAAATCCGTCCCTATTTTTTTCCATTTTCAACCATATAGGAACTTGTCTCTAGAAATTAATTTCGACGAAGAACGCTTATATGTGACTGGCTCGGGCCGGGATTTAGCAACTAATTCCTTAGCAATTTTTCAAACCGCTATTATTTCCTCTTCAAAATTTGTGACGTGTCTGTCCAAAGGCAACAAATAACTTTGTAACAGGCTTTATATTAATTATAGATAAGTGAATACACGAATTCAGCGGTCAGCTGAGCATATTTTGTCTATTTTTTTATTGCACTTTTATCCTCATTACGCCATCGGTATCTGGAATCTCTAATTCTATCAAATTGACTAGAGAACCATACAAGACGAAAGAGAATATCATTACTATGTGAGAACTCTCATAAGACCAAGCTTGGTTCTCAGGTATTCTAGGAACTTAAGATAAGGTTCTTAGGTTATGGCAGTGCCGGTCTTAGACATTTGGTGCCCCAGGCCAATGACTTCATACCTTCCCAAAAAATAATAAAAAATGTAATATTTCTTAAACCTTTATATTTGAATAAACTTAGCAGAGGTGCCCATCCCGTCAAGGTCGATGGCGCAGGAACTCCCTTCTCCCCTCCCCTTAACATATTTGATTTCTCTCCTCTTCTTAAAAACAGTGCTAGCTAAAGTAAAATTTTAAATATTCTAGGTCATATACTATTACACTTTCAGTGGTCTGTACTATTTTCTCTTTTCCCCTGGTTTGAAACTTTTCAATCCAAAAATTCAAAAATCTGTAAAAATATGCTTTCCCTCAAAAATGTTGATGAGACAACTCGCCATAAAACCTCTTTCTGGTTCCGACCCCCGGTAGATATATAATATAGATATTACAGGCACACACACACAAACTATATATATATATACTATATAAATTCGTAGATCCTTAACATTTTGTGTGAAAATCTTTTTGAAAATTATCTATAAGGGAAGTATGTAAACAATTAAACTAACATAAGAAATTTTTAGTAGTTTTCAAAAAAGATTTGAAAAAGTATATATTTATTTGTGCTGAACGTGACAAAAAATTAATTATGACTTAAAAATAGTTTATTTAGTAGTTTAGTTAACTTGTAAACCTTTTTAGTCGCCCCAACTTCTGCTTTATACACCGTGATATAGCAATAGAGTCGCCTGAAGAAGAAATATTTATTAACTTATATTTGGAATTAACAAATGGAATAAATTTAACAATTATCTATTAGTTAAGTCAATTAGACATCTTACCGACTGGAACGTTCGAATAGTTGGAATAACTGTAAGTAAAATGTTCCTCAACATCGAAGAATATTTTGTTTGAAACATCTCTTTGGCGGAAAGGAGTTTTTGTTGCTAATGACTCATTAAGTGCCGAGAGAAAAATCTGCCAGCGTGGTTTATAGTAATCTTTAATCAAACCTGGAAGAATAATAATTAATTAAGTTGAGTAGTACCAATGTCAAAGGAAAGATATGAATTACATGGTAAAAGGAGAAGGAAGGAGGTTCTAGGAGGAGGAACTTACCCATATAGAGTTGTCTTGTCTTCTTCCTCCGAAATGACTCTAGCCTGCGTAGGTCCTGACTTCCCATTTTTATTGGGACAATGGCGATAGACGAAAAAACAATGTGCCGGGATTTTATATTATTGTGAAAATGATGTAAAACTATAAATTTACTATTTGGACATTCAAATGATCGATAAATTCTAAAAGAGTAAAGAATCGCAAAATTAAAAACGTTATAGAGTAAGGAGATGGTCCGTGGTGCCGCTCATAAAAAGAATGAAATTGTGAAAAAAAATGTTTGTTATTAGTTTTTCACTATGTTAGTCTTACTATGACCGTCACCTCGGGACCATCTCTTAATCAATAATATACAACGGTCAACCATAAAGTATTCAATATAAACGTTATATTTCTGCATTAAACTATCCGGTTTCAATGATTTTTAGTTTATTATTTTCAATAACCAACCAAGAAAAAAGTGCTAGGACTACTTAAAATTTAATATTCTACGTGTTCAAGACACGTAGAAACCGAAAATCGAATGGAAAAATATTACCGCCCGTCGCACACTGGGGTGAGAGTAAGGTTCTTTGGACACCGGTTCTAACTTACTTGGAAATAGCAGTATGCCTCTCAAATATGGTCTGTTTATGTTTTTGAGAGTATTGAATTTGGATTGAGACCATTTGGTCGATAAGATGCATGCATTAAAAGAAAAATAATAAAATATTGATTTTTATTTTATCTTTAATTTAACTTTATTGGTAAATATTTTTCAATTTAAATGTTATGCGAGTAAATATAAAATATCATTAAAGTCTATGGACTATGTCCCCGATGGTAGAAGACCCCGCGGCAGACCGAGAATATCGTACCTCGAATACGTAGACCGCCTGTGCAAAAACAGAAATAAGAATATACGCCAAACCAGAAATCTTGCAAGAATCAGGAAAAGTTGGCAATCCTGGTTAGACGCTCCCCTACGCTGAAAGGTACTACAGGGTGATGCAAAAGAAGAAGAAGATATCATGACACAAACTGTTTTATCACTATAATCTACTAGTATAAAATAATTATAAACAATGTATACATACTAGTTGGCCCGTGCAAATAATTCTCAGAAAAGTTTGTTTAGTGAAGGAATAGGAAAACAATATGGAAATAAGTAGATCATATGTATTAGGCAAGGGAGGAATAAATTGTTTTTCCTGGGTCGATTACAATCTTCCATTTAATATAATAGACCAAAATAACTGCTTTGCTAGGGTCTATTTCTATAGGTATGCCTGCGTCTAAGATGTTTATTTTCATTACTTTTTTTTTTTTTTTCTCACTATGATATTTTATTTTGTTCTTTTGTAGCTTTATATTATTTGAAGTTAGCTTATTTTTTATTTTATTTTTTTTTAAATTTGTAAATATGGTGTGAATGTGCTCTCAGAACTCTATTATAAATGTCTTTTATTGAGACAGATTGTAATATTTATCAATAAAAAAAAAAAGTGTCTATTTCTAAACGCTGACTGCAAAGGTGCATTCAAAATAAAGCCTCGATCATGAGATTTTCTAAATTATTAAAAAAACGTCTGCCAAGTAAGGTCAGTATAGCTTCCTCACCGTTTCCGTTGTATATTACAAGGTATACAATTTTTCGTATGAGAATAAAATATCTGAGGGAAGCAGAATCGGTATAGCCGATTACACTTACCCTTCAACATTCAACAAAAGAGTGTCGTATTTGAAGATTCCATACTTGATTATGCTTAATAAAAAATAATGCATACTGAACATGAATTTCAATACTGTTAGTGCAAAAGGTCTTATGTAAAAAATTATTTATTGTTTTACAAGAGTGCATAAGAACTCATTATTTCTTTATACTTTATTAGAATAATTTCATATTTTATTGTCATCTGCTGTTTTCCATAGTAGCAGACTACTTATATCAGTTACAGACTAAATGTCACCTTTAATACACATAGAATTAAAGTTGAAAATTTTTACATACGAACTTTTGCTCTAATAATAGTGATATACACTACCGGATCCAGATTTAATTTTGGGGGAGGGGCTTCAGCCCGAAAGATGTTATATATATATATATATATATATATATATATATATATATATATATAAACGATAATTAATTTGAAAAAAATTCACTGCAAATTATTTCACTATGGTGTATTATTTACAAACAATTATACATATAATGTAACATTAAATTCCTAGTTATAAATAAAAATAAATAAAAGGTGATTCCAATTATTGGACTAAACTTTTTTTTTAATCATTAGTAATATGCTAAAAAAATAGCATTACTTCAGTAACACATTCCAAAATCAAAACAAAAGATAAACCTTTTACAATAGCACATCTAAAAAAAAACTAGAGACCATATCTTTGCTCCTAATTGTCCGATTTTAACAATTTTTTTTTTTTTTTTTTTTAGGAAATTCCGTAAACTTCTAAAAGCCATATACAATATTAGCAATACAATTATAAAATATATTAGTCAGTGGACCAGACCCCCTTACCGTGCACCCTCCTCCCTCCCCACATCCCTATAAATTGCATATAGTTGTGTTCCTTGTGACAATTTATTAAAAAAAAGCCAATGTTCCCACAAAAAAAAGTGAACGAACTGCCCCAAAATGGCGTCCAAACATGGCGGATTGACGACTTTGACTTTAGTTAGTTTTTTTGTTACTGAGAATCAGCATTTGGCTTAATTTCATTATAGTTGGTATTTTATTAAAGCTGGATAGTCAGAGAATAATAAAACATGAAAAAATATTAAAAACTAGTAGGCTTAGGCATTGAAAAAAATCGGTAAAGTCAATTTTTTTTACAAAAAAATTTTCAAGTTGAAAATCAAGCGTCGTTTGTAATTAAACGGTCAACAATAATGCAAAACGTGCTGAAATAAAACATCTGGAGAATACATTTATCTTTCTAAAACAATGATTAATTTTTAAAATATTTGAAGTAGTTCCGTATAAAATGTACTTAAGCGGCAGAAAAGCGCTACTGGCGTGGGTTCCTACAGGCCTCTACCACATCACTCAGTACTCATATATGGCTTATTTATAGTGCTATAATAACTTTTTTGTTATATTATATTGATTATATTAACGAACAAATATTAATACAATAATTTAATTGTAAAATTTTTTTTTTAATTTATTATTTTTGTTTTTATTTTTCATTATTATTTTTTTTTTAATTTAACTTCATTTATTCTATACGGAGGTCGCTTAAGAAGGCCCCTATTAACACAATGATATAATTATAATAATAAAACTTAATTGAAAAATACTTTGCAGAATATCTTGAATTTTTTATTTAATATTTGCAATTTAACATTTTGTTTTATATATTTACTGATTCTTAGAGGTAATTTAAATTGTATATACTTCCCCGGAAATGAGTCATATTAATATCTGTTTTATAAACTAAAATAATATATACCTAATCTGAACTACTTTTAATGAATAGGTGATGGATTGTTTAGTAAAATTCATATATCGCTATTAAAAAAAACATTTTTATTTCCTTTATTTTATTCGGAAGTTGGACCATATCATAAAAAATAGGAACTTTTAATATTAAAGTGCATTATTCCCTCTGCACAAAAGAAATATGGAAAGGGCGAAGCTATAAGTTCTTCTAGATTATCTTCACTTTGAAGCAGGTTATAGAGAGGTCTATCGATAAAGGAAAATAGCTCTCCTCCTGCTTAGTGCAATTGCAAAAGATTTTTGAAGGAATCTGAAAGGAAAACGACCTTTTGTGAAAGACTAGTAAATATTCGATCAATCCAAAGTGTGAGGCACTAAGCAGATAGAGAACCATTTTTCTTTCTCCGTGGACTTCTCGATAACCTACCTTAAAGTGAAGATAGTCCCAATTTGCAATTTATGTTCCAATGTGCAACTTGAGTTTCTCAATCCATATCGCTCAGGCAATCGACAATATTTCTAATTTTAGCTTCTACGATTCTCGAGTAGACTTTCTTTGGTACTATATAAAACAAAATGTTAAATTGCAAATATTAAATAAAAAATTCAAGATATTCTGCAAAGTATTTTTCAATTAAGTTTTATTATTATAATTATATAATTGTGTTAATAGAGGCCTTCTTAAGCGACCTCCATATAGAATAAATGAAGTTAAATTAAAAAAAAAATAATAATGAAAAATAAAAACAAAAATAATAAATTAAAAAAAAAATTTTTACAATTAAATTATTGTATTAATATTTGTTCGTTAATATAATCAATATAATATAACAAAAAAGTTATTATAGCACTATAAATAAGCCATATATGAGTACTGAGTGATGTGGTAGAGGCCTGTAGGAACCCACGCCAGTAGCGCTTTTCTGCCGCTTAAGTACATTTTATACGGAACTACTTCAAATATTTTAAAAATTAATCAGTGTTTTAGAAAGATAAATGTATTCTCCAGATGTTTTATTTCAGCACGTTTTGCATTATTGTTGACCGTTTAATTACAAACGACGCTTGATTTTCAACTTGAAAATTTTTTTGTAAAAAAAATTGACTTTACCGATTTTTTTCAATGCCTAAGCCTACTAGTTTTTAATATTTTTTCATGTTTTATTATTCTCTGACTATCCAGCTTTAATAAAATACCAACTATAATGAAATTAAGCCAAATGCTGATTCTCAGTAACAAAAAAACTAACTAAAGTCAAAGTCGTCAATCCGCCATGTTTGGACGCCATTTTGGGGCAGTTCGTTCACTTTTTTTGTGGGAACATTGGCTTTTTTTTAATAAATTGTCACAAGGAACACAACTATATGCAATTTATAGGGATGTGGTGAGGGGGGGGGGTGCACGGTAAGGGGGTCTGGTCCACCGGGTATATTAGCAAAGTATTGTATATTAGCAATATTCAATAAAATTTTTTTTAATCTCCAGCACGAACACAATGTGTCACTACCTTCGGTAGTGAGGAAGCAAAATATTTTGAAATCGCGATATCTCTACTAGTAGTGCTTCGATTTCGCTGAAACTTTCTTCATTTTTTAGGAAATTTGAATACCTTTGAAACATCTTGTCACAATATTGACAAAAATGTGTATACTTCTTGAGTTATTCGGAATTTAATTTTACCATCCCTCGTAACTTAATTTTGAGCTCCTTTTCGTTGAAGTATGTTATATAGATAAATTTAAAGGGCTTAGAGAAAATGACTTTAGCGAAGTTCCATTAAAATCGGTACATTCGTTTAGGCGCTACAGTCTATAGCAACGCAGGTTTTTCGGCCGCCATTTTAATACTAGAAGGCGAATAGTAATGTCGTTTAAGGAGGATCATCCTCGAGTGACCTCTGATTTTATATCCAAGTTCGAAAAAAATCGGTCCAGTAGTTTCGGAAAAAATGCGGACGGCGGACGGCGGACTAGTAGTGCATATATAAGAGAAAGTGGTGGACAGAATTCAATAAAATTGACACTACATTATTTTTTCACCAAAGTCGACCTTTTATCTAACTTTGAGCCAAATCGAACGAGCCCTTTCTGAAATATTGGCATATCTAAAAATATACATTAAAAATATATACGTAAGCGGAAGTGCTGGATGGTATTTGATAAAATTGATATGGGACCAGCTAGGCACCACTCAGCATAATTCCTGAAAATTTCATGGAGATTGGATGAACGGTACTAGGTTATATGCCCGTCCCATCGATTTGACTACAGACAGACAGACGCCGAACCAAATTAGATCCTTGATGTCTGAAACGTATTAATCTCAAAATATAGTGTCGTGGGATGTGGACCACTTTCTGTTTTGAATTGAGCACGTTGTTTTCGTTTATTGCTATATAAATGGATTCTAAAATTTTTAATTTTGATCGGTAGTTTGATTTATGAAGTATTTTAATATTTTTGAAATCTATTTCATGTCTATGGTTTTTTGCATGTTTTAATAAAGCGGTATCTGTTTTTGAATTAGGTTTAAGAGTACTTTTGTGGTTATATATTCTGGTTTTTATATCGGTAGATGTCATTCCTATATATGATTTGTTGCAATTTTTACAGGGGATATCATTAATTAAATTTCTATTATTTTGGCTAGGTGTTGGGTCCTTTGTACTTGTCAGTAAGTTTGTAAGACAGCTTCTCTACAAATAAAGTTATAAAATAAAACAGACTATCAATGGTAAAGAAATTCTGAACTTATAAGAACATAAAAACAGTCTTAAATTACCTAATAAATTACTCTCTTTTATTGACAGTAACTATAAAAAATGGCTAAATATATATCATGAAAGAATCTGATAATTGGAAAATATAGAAAAAAGGGAAAATGTTTAATTAGGTCGAAAATGAATCTCAGGAAATACTAGTCACAAGGTGTATATATATGTATAATGTATCGTTGGAAGCAATATCTAGTATAGAAAAGCGTAGAAGATAATGCAGAGAGACGAACAATTTTAAATAATAATTTGTGAAAACTAATATTATTTAAATGAATATTTAATAGTTGACCGTTGCATTATAAAGGAAGGAGATGGTCCGGGATGGCGGTCATAAATAGGCTAAATAGTGGCATAACTATTTTATTAAAAGCCAAAGTTTCGACCCGGCTTTTCTTCAGGGAGGTATGTTCAGCTAGGAGTTTCACTTAGAACACATTGATTCTAATGTATTTGTGTTCTAATGTATTTGTGATAAATACATTTACTCCTAGCTGAACACACCTGAAGAATACCTACAAAATCGGATCGCTTTTAATAAAATAGTTTTGCCACTATTTAGCCTATTTATGGCGGCCTTTCTTTAATATTATTTAACGTGGCAGTAGAGTGCCTCCCGAGTTCTAGGTAGATGGAAAGAGCACTACCCAGAATTGCTCAACTCTAATGGCAGTGATGAAGAAGGGTGTAGTGATGATCTGGAGCCATTGTCAATGGAAGAGGTGGCTGAGGCGATTGAAAAATTAAAAAATAATAAAGCACCTGAGGAGGATATGCTGCTTGCAGAATTCTTTCAGTACGGAGAATAATAATTTATAAACCAAATAAATTTACTGTTGGAGGATGTTTGCAATAGTGAAATCATGCTTCAGGAATGGTGCACCAGTCTGATAACCCCGATATATAAAAAAGGAGATAAACTCCAATGTGAGAACCACAGAGGAATTTCTCTATTGGCTTTAGCCTATAAAATATTTTCAAGCATTCTCTCTGTGAGGCTCAACGTATTTGCTGAGAACATACTGGAGGAAAACCAGTGTGGATTTAGGAAAGGGAGAGGAACAACTGATCAGGTCTTTGTGATGAGACAGATAATGCAAAAAGCATGGAAATATAAGATTGACCTGCATGTGCTGTTCATAGATTATCGGCAAGTTTTCGATAGAGTGATAAGAAGCAAATTAATAAATGCCTTGCATGAGTTTCAAATTCCAAAAAAATTAAAAAGGGTATTACAAATCACTATGAATAATAGCAATGCAAAAGTAATTATTATTGGCAATGTAAGCAATAACTTTCCAATGTCGGATGGGGTTAGGCAAGAGGATGCTTTGTCTGCCACATTATTTAATATTGCACTTAATAATGTTTTAAAAAAACTGGTTTCCCCTGATTGCATACTTGACACAACGGTGCAAATATGTGCTTACGCAGACAATAGATGCCTCATTACCAGGCACTAGCGGATCCAGGATTTAATTTTGGGGAGGGCTTCAGCCCGAAAGCTGTTTTTTTCATAAAAATAACGATAATTACTTTGGAAAAAAAGAAAGAAACTAACTACCTGTATGAAATGGTGTCTAAGTGATTCCTAAAGCCCTTTTAAATGTAATTACACAAACATTAATACTTTAAGCGATACTTTTTTAATATTTTTTACGATAAAACATGACTATATTTTACCATTTTGGGGGGGGGGAGGGGGCTTCAGCCCGAAAGCTCCCCTCCGTAGATCCGCGCGTGTTACCAGGAATTTGAGGTCAATAAAAGAAATATTTGCAATATTGAAAGCTGAAAGTGAAAAGGCTGGGTTGGAAATTAACGAAAATAAGACAAAATACATGTATGTTGGGACCGACAATGAGGCTGATCCTCAGAGCATTGAAATATTTGGTCTCACCTTCCAGTGTGTCGAAAAATTCGGCGTACTATACCAACCAAACATTTTTTCGATCATCGCTTCTGTCACGAGAAACAAAGATAACACTATATAAGCCTTTAGTAAGACCTATTGTGACTTATACAGCGGAGACATGAACCCTTTGTACTAGCACAATTAATATACTGAATATTTTTGAATGAAAAATATTGAGAAGAATTTATGGAGCTGTTTGTGAAGAGGGTGTGTGGAGATATAGAAAAAATGTGGAATTATATAATAGCAGCAACATAGTTCATTTCGTTAAAACTAGGCGCATGGAATGGTTAGGCCACGTGGTTAGAATGCACTACAGCAGGGTGCCTTATAAGGCATTGTTCTCTACAATGTGTGGCACAAGAAGAAAAGAAAGACCAAGGAAAAGATGGCTAAAAGATGTTGAGAGCGACCTTAGAACACTGGGCGTGAGAAACTGGTAGGAAAGAGCGAGCAATAGAGACGATGGGCACGCTATAATTCAGGAAGCCAAGGCCCACCCTGGGCTGTAGAGCTGCATAGTAAGTAAGTAATATTATTTAACGGAAATCACATGTTTTTAATTTTTTTTTTTAAATTTTAAAACAAATAATTTAAAATCCACTGAATCAAACCAATGACATTGTTAAAAAAAAACTATTTCATTTTACTTGTGTGAAAGAAAAAGTGAAATATAAAAAAATTTCATGGTTCGTGTTAAATATATGCTTATAACCTTAAATACATTTACTGTAGTTTGATAACCCTAGATCCGACATTATATTTAAATAATTAGGTAGACATAGTAAAAAAAAAAAATCCTTTTTAGAAATCATATTATACACTTACAATTAGTGTGACAAGGTTTGATCTTTAGATGCTTGCTATCTTTAAAAGCAAGGTATATTTTCCAAGGGTAAATAATAAGAATTTAAATACATGTAAAAAGTGACAGAGATATAGTAACTATAATTTTTATCATGTAGTACGATCCTTACTTATTCATAATTATATATATATGTAATTCTTTCAAATCTCTGTTAGTCTATAGAGCTCAGAGACTGGAGTTATGTGATTCAAATGGACTGATGTAGTTATATCTAAGGTTTTCATAGCCTACAATCGATGTTATAAATAGAGTTTATATTATTGTGATGGTATTAATGAATTTTTCTATTGATGAATATGACCTAAATTCAAGAATATGTTGTTTAAATTTTAGCTGCATTAAAATTGCAATAATAAAAAGTAGAGCGGTAAGTGAAAGTGTTTAATGCGCGCACCAGTTTTTTTCCTTACCTGACCACTGTTTATTGGCATAATCTCGTATTTCGCCATTTGGTCCCCAAAGAGTAATCAGATTCCTAGCATTCCTCTCATATATTTTCTCTTCCTATAAGAAATAATATGTTAGTTTTTAGATTAATAAAATATTTCATTTCAAACTTGTAAGAAGAAAATTGCTACTTCTTATTTTTATACATAAAGGATAAGAATAAACTAAATTTAATATAGTAAAGGCGTTGCCTTCTGCTACCAAACTGATGCCCACTCAGATGAATGTCATAGAGGAATATTAATAGATATAGCTATAACGTACTCGTTCGTTTCGTCCACATTTTTTATGAATTCAAGTTATTTGGTCGGACAACATTCATTTTGTCTATGAAAGATGCTAATAAAATATTAATATAACATCATTTCTGGGCTCTTCTCATTATTGGGAGTGAATTGATTTTCAACTTGTAATTTTTTTTTTTTTTTTAAATCGACTCTGCTACTGTTTGTTATTTCCTAAGCCAATTATTGTTTAATATCTTCCATGTCTTATTATTCTCTGACTATTCAGATTAATAAAAGAACAATTATGACGAAATTAAGCCAAATGCTGATCTCAGCGACCTAATTACTAATTCAAGTCAAAGATGTCAAATAGTCAACCCTGTTCGGACGCCATTTTGGAGCAGTGCGGTCACTTTTTTTGTGTGGGAATATTGGCTTTTTATAAATAAATAGTTACAAGAAATACTTCAATATATAATTTTTAGAGATTTGAGAGAGACGGACTAAACGGTAGGGAGCCTAGAAGGGGTGGACAAAAATGAAATATCAATTTTAATATAAAACCATTTGATACAAAGCTTTTTAAAAAAATAATAATAAATACATGTATTAGACATTTCCATAACTTCCATTGATATGTTCGTGGGGTTCTAAAAATGATATAAAATACACCTCTTTCCCGTATCTTCTTCCCCGACGACTTTGTGCAATAGTTCATTATTTTCGGGAATAAAAGGTCTAAAAAGGGGATTTTGGAAAAAGGGCTAATCTCGAATTACTGAGAATGTACTGTATATGTTATGTATTTTGTACAGACCAGTACTCAAATATGCTTTGTAAAAAATAAAATACATGAGTACAGGTGTAAAATGAGTATAGGTTGCAATAAGAGCTTACATTTCATTTTAGGCAGCTGTATTTGTTATTTTAATTTGTAATTACTCAATTCGTTACAGATAACAGCGTTAATTAATATTTTTTCATGTGAAACAGAGAAATTTATATCAAAAATCTAGAAAATCCTGGAAAAATATTGGAAAAGTACGGACATTTTTTAGAGGAGAATTGCTGGACCCCCTGATAGAACATTTTTTATTGAATAGTAAATAGTACAATTTACCACAATGAAGGACAAGTGCTAAGGCTAAATCTGTTCATTAATACCATATATACATATAATAGAGAAATAAATAATGATAATTAAACAAATAAAAAAAATAATCATGAGAAAAATAGATAGAATAAAATAGAAAACTATATAAAAATTAGAATAACATACGTAAGTGAAATAAGAAATAAATCAATAAGTAAAAATAAAGTAAATCTTCTTAGTACATTCATTTCTATGTACAATATCTATATACGACCAGAGAACTCCGAACCAAGCTGTGTCCTCCAAAAGTGAAAGACAAAGCAGGACTCCAGTAGATCCCAGTGCCTCTCTTCTAGCCGTGTCTCTGGTAAGTCAGTATAAATTGAAGGATGGGACTAGAGCCACAGACGCTCAGGGCTTGAGTGGAGAAGCTAGTTATTGCCAGGACTCTAGAGCGTATTTAGAAGAGATCTCGGGACCACTGACGTTTTAACCTTCGGGAAGGATTGTAGGGATGATCGGAGATGGATAGGGATTAAGCTAGAGGATTTAGATGCTGAATAAGGTTCCGGTGAAAGTTTGAAAATCTGGATCACAAAATTCCTGTCTCTGAGCTCTATAAACATATAAAAAACACACACACACGCAGATACACTCACGCACACGCAAACACATATACACACGCAGACACACACACACACACATTGACACACACACACGCACGCAGAAACCTCTGTTCTCACTTTTTTCGCTGGTCTATCTCTGTTAGTTGATTATTTATTGAGGTTATTGTGGAGCCGAGATATTTCAATCTATCTGCTTTCGGGAATCACTTAGAGTCCACTCAGGTCATTATTAGTGTTGATGTTTCGGATAACTGTCATATATTTTGTTTTATCTTCATTAACTAGTAGCCCGATTTGTTCTGCTTCTCTAAACAGAGTCCGAGCAAGTCTCTCAAGATCCTCATGATTGCTTCCGAGGACAGCTATATTATCCGGATATGCTAGGATGTTGTTCTTATTACTTAGGGCTAATTTGAACAGCATTGACGAGAGTCCATCTCCCTGCCTCAAACCTGTTCGAACTTCAATAGCTTCAGATACGTCTCCTTGTATTAGTATTCTGCATTTAGGACCATTTGTACACGCCATTGTCAACCTCACTAACTTTTCGGGAACACCCAGCTCATCTTCCAAAGACAGTTTATGTCCACGGAGTCATAGTCTGATTTTAAGTCGACAAAGGCGTCCTGATCTACTTCCCCTCGTTTTATGAGTTTTATATCTGGTCTATCGTACTCCTTTTTCTCCTGAATCCTGCTTGGTGGTCGCCTGTTATGTTCTCATAATACGGATTCATCCGACTTAGCAGAATATTAGTCATTATCTCATAGGCAACCGGAAGAAGTGCAATGCCTCTGTAATTACCGTATTCATACATGGGGCCCTTCTTAAGGATTGGACAGATCAGCCCTGTGTTCCAGGCTTCTGGTATGCATTCCTCCTCCCATATTTTCTGGATTAGTTCTAACAGCATAGATCTAAGACATAGATGTTCTCTCCCATTCTGGAGCCTTTCTTCTTTTAAGCCTGCCGATAGCTATTTTCACAACCAGAATATCTAGTTTTTCATCTTCAAGTGGGACGATATCCTCAGTGTGGTCCATGTCCATGAGTTTCTTCCAGATCTTTTCTTTTTATGCCATCAATTTGCCATCTTCCTATCGTATTGGCATATTTCTTGCTTTATATCCTTCTGTCCTACTGATATCTACGAAGAATTCGGATATATTTCCAGCCTGTCAGTTTTCCTCAATAGTTTGTAATCTTTCTTTGAAGAATTCTCTTTTTGTTGTTTTTATTATTTTTTTTGTCTTTCTTCTGGCGGTTGTGTATTTGTCCAGCATAGCTTGATCATTTTTTTTTAAGTAGAGGACTTTTCTTCTTTCCTCCACCGCCTTTTCACATGCTTCTGTTTTTTAAACAGAAAAACCATTTCTTGGCTTTTCTTTTTTCCTGAATCCCTTACTTCATTAGCTGTTTGTTTTAGCCCTGATTCTAGTGCATCCCAATGTTGGTCTACCATGGGGTCTTTCGCGTTCAAGCGTTGGAATTTATTTTTCAGCACAATTTTAATTCAGTCTGTTCTATAGGTTTTACCAAATTATGGACTTCTTGGTTTTTTCGTTCCACTTGGTCCCCAATTTGATGGATTCGCTTCAGCCTCTGTCAGAGTTCGATTCTAATCGGAGTATGGAACGAATCAAATTCTTCTCCACGATAACCCCTTATGTCTTTTATGGAGCTTTGATGCCTCTATCAGCAAGTGGTCGATTTGGCTTTCTGCTGCTTTAAGACTTACCCAGGTGTAGTTATGTATGTCCTTGTGCAGGAACTTCGCACAGCTAAACTTCGGCTGCTGCCATACTGAAGTTTAGCCATGTTATATTACTCCATTATCACGATGGTTTCGTAGAAACTTTGGCCTCCGATGATGGGCCGAAATTGGGTTTCTCGACCTATCTAGGCATTGAAGTCTTCCATGACTAATTTTATGTCATATTTTGGAGCCTGGTCCACAACTTTTTCAAACTGATCATAGAAATCATTCATCGCCTCATCTTCTTTTTCTTCGGTTGGTGCCTACATGTTAATAATTGTGATATTAAACCAACGACCTTTTACGCACTTACCCTTTCATTAACTGGGGTGAAGTTTATTACTGATTTCTTTGCGGTCGGATTAACTATGAACCCAGAACCAGCTGTCCCATTTTTGTCGTTTCTCCCGGTGTATAACAGTGTATAGTGGTTTCAACACCATCTGGCCACTCTTGTATGGCTGTTAACGGTATGGTTTACCTTTTTACTTCATTTACTAAGGAATAAGGAGGATATCCTTTTGCCTTAATTTTTATTACATATATAATTTATGATCTATATTATATAAAATTAGCAGTTACTTACGAGTGGCGTAGTGGCAATAGATTTGGCAGAATTAATCCAGTTCCCCAAAAGGAACTTAGAATTACTTGCTAATATAGTTTCTAAGTCATCTAGGAGTTGAAGAAATATTTCTGTTGTTTGCCTATGGACATGATTCATTGTTCATTTAAAACATTTAAATACATGTTTAAGATAAAATGAAGTTAATACTTACTGTAAAACTGTTAAATTTCCCTCATTATAGGATATGTAAATGTCTGAGAACAATTCATTTATTTTTAGTTGTAATGCCTGTCTTGTAACATCTACAAGATCAACTAAAAATGTCTCTGTGATATTAATTTCTGGTATTTCAGAGGAAGCTAGCAGTAGTTTTGTCCAAGCTTCATAAACATCATTTTCATTGTACCATAACTATCAATGAGCAATGAAATATTAATTATTTCACTTAATATAGTATTAAATTATCCATACTTTTATTAGACTAATTTTAAGTTTACTTGATCGGTTTCCATGTTCAGTCGAGGGTGTTGTACAAGAGTGTATTTTCCATGTTGAGATTCATCACCAGTGTAGTTGTATACAGATTTCTAAACATAAATGTATATTCATATTATTTTCAGGTTATTTATTTATTTCTCTGGTTTCCAAGGCTTACAATCCAATACTATCTATAAATATATAGACCCAAATCCATGCACATTTATAAAAATTTGCAATTTATACACTATTGCAATAATTTTAGTAAGGTAAACGTTATTACTGAGACACCTACTAAAATAAATAATAAATAAAACATTATTTGTATTAATATAAAATTATACTTCGCTTAGTTTCAAATTAATTAATATGGAATATAAATACAGTGAAAAAAACGAAACCAAAATTACAAATCACTAAAAAAAATAAAAACTTTTAATTTATGGATTAAACAATATCGAGAAAAGGCTTCTCTCAATTTTCGCCAATCTTCTCTTGAATCCGCTTTTCTCATCCAGTTTATGCCTGCTACGTTTGTTATAACATCTCTTCACCTCCTCAGTTGTCTTCCTCTTCATTTGGCATACAGTGGCCACCATTCCGTCATTCCCTTTGTCCATCTTTCATCAACCATCTATGCCAAGTGCACAACCCAGTGTCATATTAACTTTAAAATCACCTCTTTGATGTCCTTGACTTTAGTTCTGTGCCTTATATTCTCATATTTCAGAATTTTATATTCAGAATACTTCTCTTCATTTTCCTCTGAATGACTTGAAGTCGATTTATGTACTTCTCAGTGATTGTCCATGTTTAGGCTCCAGAGGTGAAACTTTTCATCACAACTGTTCCAAGAACATTATTCTTCAAGTGTATTGAAAAATTTCCTTTCATGATAACTTTTAACGAAAAATATTTTTTCCCTGCAATGGATATACGTCTGTTCCTTCTCACTTGATGAAAAAAAAGGACAAGTTTTTGTTCTGAAAAGGACATATTAATTGTTAAATGAGTTTTGTAATAGAAAACAACTCCCACAATAAATGCTATAGTGACCTCCAATTAAAATGACTTTCTAAATTTAATTTTTTTAAAATACTTTTTAAATTTTTCCATGTAAACAAAGAAGTTTTCGTGGGCAAGATCCGAGCTGCTAGCGGGTCGTAATTTGGAAGTCATTGCTCTATCGTAACAAGAACAGATAGTATTTTGGTGCTTACCTTTAATAAATTCCATGCCTCTTGTGCATTATCATTTTGTATTCCATATCTTCGCCTTGCGTAATTGTTAAACCTGAAAGATATTAAAACATAGAGAAGCATAAAAAGTATATGCAGCAGTTAGATTTTATATTTATATAATATACGTTACGTTACGTATATTTTAGTTTGAACATTAGGAGGGAAAAAAAATAAATAAAAAAAAGCAAGAAAAATGAAATCAGTTGTTTTAATTGGTAATATACAGCTTAATCATAGTTCATCATCTTTTGCCACTTAAAAAGTCTTGAAGCGATCGGAATAAACGGTAATCCGATGGTGCAACATCAACCGAGTATGTTGGGAGAGGCAATACCTCCCACCCCAATCCATTAATTGTTTCCACGGTTCTTTTGCCCAGTGCGATATTGCATTATCTATCGTGTTGTAGGTTAATGCATTTTTTCTTTTGATTTTCTTTTGATAATCGCTAGCCAATTGTCATTAATGATTAATTTACAAAATCCAATTGTTCATAGTAAAGGTCTCCATTCACAGTTTGTCCAGGTTTCAGCACATCAAAATGAACAACGTCGCAAGTACTCCATCAAACACTCAAGAGGGCCTCATTGGAGTCAATAATTAGATAATTCGGAAGCCACTTCTTTTTGTGTTATGTATGCATTATGGAGGACCCATTTTTCATCCCCTATGATCAAGCAATCAAAAAACGTTTCGGTATTGTGCCATTGAAGCATTTACTTAGTTTGCCAAGGATTTACTTCCACTTCCAACCTTAACACGCCGTTGTCTACGTTGTTGATCTTGTACGTATTCGTTGCATTGTGTACGATACGAGTCGAAAAGATCAAACTTACCGGATTTGAATTTGGAAAACCACCTTTGGAATGTACGAACGTTTATTGGAATAAACATCCAAAATGTTTTCGGTAGCAACCGTTGTATCTTCTGTATGTATATCTTCCGGTATTTGGCTGTCCATTCCACCCAAAATTGTAAAATAAATAAATGATTTTAATTATTTACAACTAAACAAGTCACTTTAGCCACAGAATGTCTTTGCCACGACTTTGATGTACACAATGATCTCATAAATAAAGATGAATTGGTGACACACACACAGACGAGATTACTTTCCGTTTCCCTTAATACAAAGATGATCTGAAGGCATCGGCGGACGGAAATGGTTGTAGTGAATTTTGTAAAGACAAAATCTTCTGTTAAACCGGCATTAACTTATGTTAATGTTCGGTGTCATACAAACTATGATTATCAATATACCCTTCTCTGGTTTCTTTACAATATTAACACTTAGTTTTATTATTATTCTAAATAATTGAATATGACAATAATTAAAATAACAAATGTATACCATTTTGTAAGGTTTGCTGGTTCTTTTCTCCAAAACATATCCATCAGTAAATCATAAATAACATAGTTTGTATTAATACCCTCAGGTGTCAATCCAACCCCCACCAAAGTGGAATTCTGAAATTCTCTAGCTTCAAATATGTTCTGAAAAATGTATTAGGATTTATATATGTACAAAAAACCTCATGATAACAGTAATATATATTAGGTGTTCTTACATTGTTGATGAACTCAGAAGAACCATGTAAGCCTAAAGTTCCACCAAAATTATGGAGCATACACCAAATAAAGGGTTGTCCAAAAAAGGAATCCATTTTTGTATATTGCGGATTTATTTCTGCTTGTAAATCTAGAACTAGAAACTTACCCTGAAAAAAAAAATGGTATACAGAGTTACGAGTATGATTTCAATGAACATTAATTAGAATAATAAATTGAGTTTGTGGGGAAAAGTTGTTAATGATTGGGTTTTAAAAGTTATAATAACTATTAATGTTTTTAGGCGTTCAAATTTCTATCATTTATATGGTAGTACATCATGGCATATAAGAAATAATGGTTAATCAATAGAATTGTTATACATGCATTATATATAGCATTTCCAAGTCAATTTCAACTTTTTCCAAATCAAATTCAACCTTTTCCAATTCAAATTAAACCTTTTCCATTTCAAATTCAACCTTTTCCAAGTCAAATTCAACCTTTTCCAAGTCAAATTCAACCTTTTCCATTTCAAATTCAATTTTCGAAATAAAGGCCACTTGCTATAATATCGAAAGCATAACTTTTGAAAAATACATAAAAAATTATGATAGCGCGGTTGCATATCCATTTATTTTAACTTTTGAGATTTTTTCAGTACAATATTTCCCTGTCATATTCAACCTTTTCCAAGTCAAATTCAACCTTTTCCAAATCAAATTAAACTTTTTCCAAGTAAATTCAACCATTTCCATTTCAAATTAAACCTTTTCCAATTCAAATTCAACCGTTTCCAATTCAAATAATTGTTTCGAATTTTCGTCAATTTTTTTTAAAATAAAGGCCATACCCTCCCCACAATATGAAGGTATATTATTATGCTCCCGTAAATAGAGTTTTCCAAAATACTATAGATTTTATGTTACACTTACGGATATTGATTTATTGTACCTATTCCGATTTATTAGGGTCTAGTATTATGCTGTCGTATGCATACTTTTTAAAAATTACCTCCTTTTTTTTATTACGCCACCGCGTTTCGACTTATTCAAGTTTTTTGGATTTATTCGATATAAGGGTGTATTTTTATGGTTCCGGAGCGAGCAAAGAGGTCATTTTTAAAAAATAGGCACACGACAGCATAATTCTAGACCCTAATAAATCGGAATAGGTACAATAAATCAATATCCGTAAGTGTAACATAAAATCTGTAGTATTTTGAAAAACTCTATTTACGGGAGCATAATAATATACCTTCATATTGTGGGGAGGGGATGGCCTTTATTTTAAAAAAAATTGACAAAAATTCGAAACATTTATTTGAATTGGAAACGGTTGAATTTGAATTGGAAAAGGTTTAATTTGAAATGGAAATGGTTGAATTTGACGTGGAAAATGTTTAATTTGATTTAGAAATTGTTTAATTTGACTTAGAAAAGGTTGAATTTGACTTGGACATGCTATATTTGTCAGAAAATCAGAGAAGTGCTACATGAAGAAACATAACGACTTGTTTGTAGGTTGGGTGCTACCCATTTTTTTAAAAAAAATAACTGTAATATTATAGTTCAATGTATAAATATGCGATAAATTTCGTAGATAAAAACTCCATTTATAACAAGTAAGTAGCTCCATTTAGTTTGGGAAGCCTATATCATAGTAATTAATGGAAAATCTGCGTAAATATAATATACCAACAAGATAATATAAAATATATAAAACAATGAAATAGGTTTGTTTGTTAGTAAGGGTATTTTATATTCAAAAGATTTAATATTTAGTATGGTTATACTTAAGTACTTTAAGTAAACATTATGATTATATCAAATATCCTGGTTAAAGTGGAAATAGTAATTTATCTGAAAACTTAATTGCCTTATTTGGAATCCATGCTGTCATTAATTGTTTAACATTAACTTACAATAGAAATAGAAGTTAAAAATGCTTTTGCTCTCTTCTTTGTCCAAAAAAGGAAATCATGTTTAAACAACCACCCCTGGAGCATCCTGTAAAAAATTAATTTACTTACTGTGGGTATAGATGTTAAAAAGGACTGAGATCTATTCAATGACCAGAACTCGGTTTGCAGAAATGTCCATGATTGGAGCATCCTAAGACAAATATTAATATAAATATTTTTATTTTTCAGAAAAAAATTATTAACAGTTAGCAAATTTCTCTCTCATTCCCTCTCTTCTCCCCTTCTTCAGCCTACTCCTTCCCTTCTATCTCATTTTTTTTTTAGGTATGTTAAACATACAAGACATGCTAATAAATATATTTTTATGTATATTAAGTGAAAAACTATTTATAAAAATATATTTATACAGTGTCCCTAAGCAGAGGGAAATATTTAGAGGAATGATTGAAAACCTCAAGAGCAACAAAATAGTTCATATAAACAATGGGCCGATTTCTCAAAGAAAGGTAGGAAATTCAAGATTTGTGTTTTTTAAGAGAGTCATGTTTTTTGTTGAATAGGGAGAGAAAAATAAATAAACATTTAATCTAAGTAATCATTAATAGTTCCACACTAAACTAGACAGATTTTACTTTAAAGCAAGTAGAGGATACCATTGTTAAAACCATTTGAAGAGCGCTATTGAATGGCTAAACTTAAGTAGGTTCTGTTTAAAAAAAAATCAAAAATTATTTCCCATCTTCATTTATCACCCTAGAACTATATTACCGAATCTGCAGTCTACTTTCCCTTGTATAGTTTTCAAGAAAAAATCTGTACAATCTCACGTCGTATTGCTAATTGATGTTTAAAACCAATTACCTATGAAGTTAATACAATTAACTATGACGAAACAAATAATTTGTATTTAATATATTTTTTCTTGAACACTTTACGAGCCAAAATAATCTTGTGTGGTTTATTTTTTTCTGAAGAGAGGGTATCATAATTGCCTGGGTGCGCCGCAAGTCTGTGCTTGCGATTAAAATCTAAATTCCAATCCTTAATTCCTTCCTGTCCTCTCATTCTGGACGTGACAATGTCCTGTGCAATATCAATAAATAAAAATTCGAAAATCCCACCAAAGTTCCCTATCACCTCCAATGAGATTAAGCATCTGGTGCGAGAAGGTAGTCGGGATGAACAGGGATATGAGCGGTAAAACTATTTGTACTCCATTCGGCCTTCATCTTCTTGTACGCCATCTACGTCCAGTGGTGTTTCAAATGTGGGTCCAACGATGAAGACTATTACTGATGTTACTTGTTGATTTTAATAGCCTTTACTAATTGTAACTGTCTTTGACCTAATGTATTCTGTCTTTGATGTTCTCGAGAAACAAAGCAATGTTATATCTACTATATTTTAAACAAACATTGATGTAACATCTCATATAGATACATATTAAGTACATAAGTGAGAGGGACAATATTTTTCGGAAGGCCATATGCCATAGGCCTTGGGGGGATGGCCACCCCTGATTGTAGATACATAATTTTCAGATTTCATAAATGAAAAATTCATCACTGAACTGAGTGTTTTAATTTTATGAAATGATATTTAATGACTTTTTGCAATTAACCGTAAATATTTTGTTAATGATATTGGAGAGATAGGGAAAAAAACACTTTGTGCCGTATTAGTTTGCTCTTGGGCTACCAACTGATCATTGAACTACAGAAATGATTTTAGACACATGTCATCAAGGGATAAATGAATGAATGACCATTTTCTCAAAACATTGAGTATTTCAGTTGACATAATGTGTAACTCCTACTTCAACTATTTCTAGTTTTTAGTTGAAAATATCTTAATTTTTTCAAAATCATGCCAGAAGTAGTAGTAATTGATAATTGATAATAAATATTTTTGCCATACTTTTGGGGAAAAAAGTAAAAATTTTCTAAAGAAAAAAGAGAAACGTTACCGACACTAAATTAATGAAAATGTTAAAATTGGAGTCTAACCATTTTATTATCTGAAAGGCTTTCAACAAAAAAGCTAACGGACAGCCCCTAAAATATCAAAATCACTCAGTTTAAATAAATGTAGATAACTGAAAACACATTCACAATATGGATACAATGGATAGAAATATGTACGGATATAAAAAATAATATATACCAAATTCCATGTGGATCTGTAGAATTTATGGATTCATATATAGATCTTCCTATTCTATGTAGGTAGTCCAAGTCTCCAGAAGATGGTAACATTTCGTTAAATGGATCACAATTATAAATATGATCAGTTCCAAATTCTTGGATGTACTATAAATTAGAAACTTAATTAATTTGAAATTATGATTAGATTCTTAATTAAAAGTTGTTATTAAATAATATACCTCATGTAGAAACAGGGAGCCAACTTTATTAAAAATAGGATCATCAGGTGCCATTATATATGGGCTGGAAATATTTTTAGATATTTTAAAAAGCTTTTAATGCATATTATGATATGACATATGTGTATATGTGTATATATATATATATATATATATATATATATATATATATATATATATTTTTTTTTTTTTTTTTTTTTTCTTTTTCCCCATTACAACTATAATCATGCTAAAGGAGATTTTTTAAAATTTGCTTACTCACTATTATTTAAATTGCTGTAACTATGCTATCATTTTTATTGTTAGTTTTTATTAGATTAGCCTACTTATGCTTTAACATAAAAAATCAAAGCTTTTTCTTGTCTTACTTTTTCTCATGTGGCTTCTTTACAGCTTTTGCTTTTCCTTTTTATATATGTTTTTAATTCTCATTACAATTATAATTATTCTTGGGAAGATTTTATTTTTTAGTATTTACAGATTATTTTTTAAATTACTGTATACACTGATAGATTTGTTATTAAATTTGCCCAGTGCTTATGTTTTCAACATCAAATCAATGCTTTTTCTTGTCTAACTTTTGTTATTTTTTCTTTTCTCCTGTTTCGATTTTTCTTTATATATATATATTGCATGGTACAGACCCCTTTTCATGAAATTATTAACATCCGTCTGAAACTTCGTAAATAGCTTCATTTCATCGTAACCTACAAATACTTTATTTACGAAAATTCTCGGAATTGGGGCGTTTTATTTCTGGAGGTCAGCAAACTTTGTCTATTTAATTAGGTACTAAAAACTCGTAAATACCCTTTTTTGGTCCTCCCCTTCCTTGCCTTTAAGGTTATACGGAGCTTTCCCGGGCCAGGGAGTGAGGACGGGGATTTAAAAGACTCCCCCGGCACCGGGATACGAACTCGTGACTAATTTTTTTGTCATTTGTATCATTTATCAGGTTGCCGGGCAACGGTGGCGCTGTATACACGCGTTAGTCCATTCGGCCACCCCGCCCACAAATTTGCTTTCCACTTGAATCTTATGATAATGTTATAAAAAAAAATATATATAAAATAATTGAACCGTTTGGCTTTACCTCCATCCCCAAAATGTCAAAATTACGAAGAGAGTATCATTTTTACAATTTTTTCTTTTTTGAGCCAGACTGTTCAAACACACACACAACCCATTATGCGAGACTTGGTTATTTAGAATTCAGGTTCTTTTAAACTAGTTTATAATAATTAATACCTCCTTTTTTTTTTTTTTCAGAACGCTGTTTTCGGTGATGTATTACTACTTATTATTTCGTCTGGTGCCCGTAACACACAAGTTTCATTTTTATCTCTACTTTTAACAAAAATGATTGTCTGGCAAAATTGGGGTAAAAAGGTTTTTGATTAGCAATATTAGAGTGTATTGAATTTCTTGCGCTGATCTTCCACAAGCATTACATTGCTTTAGATTATGAAGAAAGTCGTACTCAAATAGTTTCTTTGATCAATTTTCAGGAAAATAAATCTAATTCATTTCTTTTTTTTTTTTTCAATGGACATATTTTAAGTTATAAAAACTTTTCTGAAATAGGTAGGAAAATCGTGTAAGTGAACAAACCCAGATTTATTTTATTTGTTCGTCATTGTTTCTCCGAAGGAACCTTGTCCCTGAATTAACTTTTCTATTCTAAATATACAATTGTAAGTAAAATAATATCAGAAAGTACGTAAATAATTATTGCAAATTACAGAGAGTTGGGTTAAGATTTTAAATTTATCTATATTTAATCATTAATTTCTCTTTCTCTATGGAATAATAGGTTATTGGTCGATTTGGGATGGGAAGGGAAGGCGCTCGAAAGAATCTCGCCTCGGGCGCCTATAACCGATGCGAACCCTAACACTCTTATCAAATGAAGAAGGTACTGATATATTTTTTGTTTTCTTTTCTCCTCTTCCTCCCCTAATCAGCTGCTCGGTTTTTCCTGGGCTTGGGGAGAAGTCGGGGGATTAATGTCAGAGTTACAAGAAATCGTATCTTCAGTTTAACAGGCTGCCGGACAACGTGTGTTATGCACACTCCTACGACCGATCGGCCTCCCCACCTCTGCACTTGGATGATGTATGTAATTTAGTTGTATTTTTTTTTTTTTTTTTTTGTTCTTCCCGCCTCATCACTCTGAAATTGTGCTATGTCATTATTTAATATAATCTAGCCCTGAGGAATCTCCAGTGCCTTAGTTTTCAAATCTATATTGTAGCTGCTGGTTTAGTTATTATATTACAAATGTAAAATAAGTAACAATGATAATAAAAGTAAAATAAAAAAAAAAAGTAAAAATAACTATTTATACGTATATAAACTTACCAACAATATTGATCCGGAAAATAACACCAATCTGGAAGCAATGTCAAATTTGATGACGGAAAAATTCTGAAAAATGGTTACTATTAATTTTAAAAAAATCTTTAATAAATATTAAAGTTAGAAAGGATAATTTTATACTAAAAATACGCATTAGTAGTTATTACAAAACCAGCGTCTAAATGTTAAGATTGCTTCAACTAAGCAACAAAAGTAATTCGTAACTGCTGTGTCTGAATTGTAAATATTAAAATGCTTTTTAATTGATAAACATTAAAATACAGATTTAAACAATCTATTGCTAACTATATTTATTTTGCGTGAAATACTTATACTTGAAAATTTATATTGCATGAAATAATTATTTTGCACGAAAATGCTCATTTATAAACCGAGTGTCCTAACATTGTGCAAATAATTCAAAAGATCTGAGTAAAGATTAGATCATTTTTATTAGCAATTGGTTCTTGCCAATGATGGCTCAGAAATTTTAGCTAGGATTGTTGAAAAAACTTCTCGTATTTCGCCATGAGAATGCTTTTGTCGAGAGAGGATTTCTAATAAATAGTTGGGTGGTTGTAGAACAATTGTCAAGGTCACTTGTCGTGGGTGTACGAACTAGTCGGATTGGAAAGCCATGGAATAAGTAAAACTATGTGAGGACCGATGGATGAGTATTGGTGTATTTCTTTTTTCAAAACTAAAGATACCGGCATGAATATAAAATAATCTCTTGATATGTATTGGATACATTTGGTATCTCCACTATTTCTTAAACTATTTTTTCTTTTTAAGTAATTTGTTATGATGGACACGTCAATTATGCTACCAAGTACGACTTTCATAACATATTTCATATTAATACTAATAATGGTATTGGTTTAATATTTTATTGTAGAGTTTAATCTGAATAGACACGTTTGACTGCCATTCAATTGAAACCATGAAGGTGAGGAAAACAGAATTCCAATCAGGGAAATACTCAATGCTTAACTCATGGTTAGCTTAATTATCAATTACAAAGGAATTACTAACGAGGAGATCAATTGATGAGAGCCACTAGCGGATCCAGGATTTAATTTTGGGGGAGGGCTTCAGACCGAAAGATTTTTTTTTCATATATATATAACGATAATTAATATGAAAAAAAAAGAAAGAAATTAACTAACTATATGAAATGCAGTTTAAGTGGTTCTTGAAGTCCTATTAAATGTAATTAAACGAACAAGAATACTTAAAAGAGATAGTTTTTAATATTTTTTTCTGTAAAACATGATTATATTTCCTATATTAACATGATTATATTCATATTTAGTCCTATTAAATGTAATTAAACGAACAAGAATACTTTAAGAGATAGTTTTTAATATTTTTTTCTGTAAAACATGATTATATTTTACCATTTTGGGAGGGGGGGGAGGGGGTGCTTCAGCCCGGAAGCAACCCCCGTAGATCCACCTGTGATGAGAACTAATAAGAAAAATAATTTGTCAATTTCAACATTTGATGCAAAGAACCGAGGACAGACGAGTACAAGCCACTACAACTCATAGTTTGCAGACAGGATGATATTGCGGTTGATAAAAAGAAAGTGGCGATTCCAGGGGTATCGCTACGGAGCAGTTAGGTAAAAGAGTCACACATCACAAAGTGAGCAGCAGAACTCCATAGCTAATCGACATTTAACTGATCGATATATATTGATATTTTCCTCTTATATGGATGTTTACATCTTCATTAAAGATTCAAGTATTTTTCAATGAGCCATCTTACCTTGAAAACGCTCTAGGAACGTGGCCTGCAAATGCGGGTAGTACTGGAATTATTCCTAATAGTCGCATTCTTGATAAAATCTTTTTCTGGAGGTTGACTGAAAGATTATGCCACGATTTTGAAAGAGGTCCTTCCCATCCTCTTAAATTTCCCATTCTGTTCCTGATATACAGACAAACCAATATAAGATAAATGAATAAAATAACAAGTCTAAATACAGAAAAACGGAATAACTTTAATCCTTGGTGGAATGATTATTCCAAAACTAGAATTTTTTTGAAGAAATAAAAGTTTATAACATAATAAAAGTTTTATTAAATTATTATTTCTGGTTCCACGTAGTGGGATACTACGATTTGTTTACTTTTTGTTATTTTACAATATCTTCGTATTTTTTAATTTGTGAACAATATTTTGGGTTAACCTATCGCACCTTGATGTTGGGGCTCTACTACTATTGTCCTCTTCTCGGTTGCTGTCCAGGCTGGTCCGCAGCGTCCAATCATTCTTCTTCTTCCTGTTCATCGTTAGGTGGGGCTAGTCGATATCGGTTAGTCGAGCCCTTTCTAGGGTGTAATGCCAAAGACCCATCACCTCCTTCCATTAGATGAGAAGTCCTACTCAGTAAAGTCGATAACCTAGCACGCACACTTCTATGGCAGCGTTAACAGGGGTTAATATTTATTTCATGGTTCTCTAACTTCTCACGGAAATCTTCGTCTCCTGTGAGAATCTGCGAGAACTAAGAGTCCGGCAGGACTCGAGTCTTGACTTTTTTTTGGTAACCTCTGCCTTGCCATTTCTGGCATATTGGGAGGAGGTTGTTCTTGATTCAACCAAAGCTATTATAACTAGAGTGGGAAGATTGAGTTCTGTTTTCTTGGTTCGAAACCCACCCTGGCTGCATTGAAACTGCCACTGTTACTAGACCCGAGAATATTGCGCACTGGCTATTCCGCCTGTCTATTTTAATACTTTTTTGAAGGCTTAATAAAATCTTAAAAAATGGTGGATTTAATAGACATTATGCTCAAATAAATTAATCTGTACGTATCTATCTTGATACCATGTTTTTAACGCATAAATAAAGTAAGAAGCATTTAAATTATGACTTTGTTGGTCTACAGTCTGTTAGCCTCTCCTTGCCCATTTTAAACTAATAAGGATAAATCATTAGGAAGTTAGGAATTTCAAGAGCGATCAATTCAATACATAGTAATGAAAAGATGCGAACTTCGGAGTATGCTAAATATAATAATGTAATATATGATTATAAATATTTCTCTACTTTCTTTATGGATTATTGTTGTATTAGTCTTTATCTTTTTACAGATTAGCTATTTGTTCTATTTTGTTTATTGATTTCAAAATAACCATCGTGTAAGTCTCACACTGTTACAATTAATGAATGTTTTGAAATTTGAAACAGTGAGCTTTTTACCATGGTCTTATTTACATCTGCCAGTAAGTGGTATTTTTGTTGGCATATTTTCTAGTTAAATATTCAACAAATAAAAAAAAAACTTTTCATATTTTTAATACCGGCAACTCTTTAAAATTATTAAAAAAAAAAGATTTAGGCGTAAAAGAGTATTTGAGAAGTAAGGAGAAAAAAATAGAACATTACGATGAATTCCTACTTGTTTTGTCAAATTCTTCGAATAGTCTGAACACCCTTTAAAATATTTTGGTTCCTTAGCGATTAAGATAGCGATTTCCTTCGCCTTTTAGGCTGTATGGAGTTTTCCTGATCCAGGAGGTAAGGACGGGGATTAAGGCAAGAGTTAAAATCCCCTTCGGTACCGGAACGCGAACACGTAATTATCTTATCAAATCATCTTCCATCAGATTGCCGGGAAACACGTTAGCCCGCTCGACCACACCATAGATCCGTATTCTTTAACTCCTACCTATCTCCTCTTTTCTCGCTCGTCATCACTAAAAAAAATTCTTAAAACTCGCCAAATTTCCCATGTTCTACCCTTACCTAAATTCCCATTTTCCTGGGCAGCATCTGACGAAGATAAAACGCCAGACACCTCTCCAATAGATTTATTCCATATTCGGAATCCCATCCCATCCATGCCGTAACAGTAGAGAAATTCCTAACATCATCTTTAACACACTCCTTGCATCTTAAAGCAATTCCTTCCAAGCATTCTTCCAAAGTGGAATTTCAATCAAGCATAAAAACTGTCAGTAAATCTCTTGGATAACATCTCGTTATCCCTCAGATCCGTCGACAACTTCCATCCTAAGCAGTCATATTTCTTACATATCTCTACAATTACATTCTACGTATCACCCACTTTCCTCTATTATGGAAATATTTCACTATTATCTTTTTCCCAAAACCAGGCAAACCTCCCAACAGCTTAATCCTATTAGCCTGTTCCCAATTATTTCAAAAATCTTTGAAAGTTCTTTTTGGAACGAATCCTACCCATTATAGAATCCCAAAATCTTCCTTCCCATAAGTTTCTTTTTCGCTCAAAACACTCCACTGTCCAACGATAAATCTCTCAGTCGTTGATCATATATCAGCATTCTTAGAAAATAAGCAATACTGCTCGGGTGCATTTCTGGACACAGCACAGACTCTCGATCGGGTACGGCACCCCGGGCTGCTCTATAAGCTTTTTTGTTTATAAGTTTATATAATGAAGTTTACAATTTAAAATATGTACATAATAATCGGTAATGTTTTGGTGTGCAACATTTCACACTCTAGTTATACTAAAATTATTAACTTAAATGCCATTTCGTTGTTTTTATACTGTAGGAAAAGTAATAACAAAAAAAAAAATATATGTAAATAACTAATATATAAATGAAGTAAATAATAATAATAAAATTAAAACTACGTACATTTAATTTACTATATATAGTAATTAAAGATATAGCACATATATCTTAAATATGTTATTTGAATAGATTGAGTTTAATTTTGGTTATATATATTTGTACTTGGTATTATTATTTTGCTGCTGTTCTATTTAATATATTTTTATTTATTGTAAACAAGATGTAAATGAACTCCTGTATTACTATTTACTGTTGTCCATAGTGACAAAATGTAATATTATTCAATAAAGAAATGGATTAAGAAAATTTACATATCATTAGTTAGTTGGATAAAGTTGGTTTACAATAGAAATGATCATACAAAAAAAAAAATATTACCAACTTAAAAATGCTGGTCCAGTAAAATGGTCATCGATCTCCTTATCAGTTAATCCAAGTTTCAAATAGACTCTTCTCCAAATTTCCTCCTGTCCATTGAAAGCCAAGACTAAATTGAAACCATTTAAAGCCATCCAATCTATTTCTCTCTCCCATCGCTTCCAGTCCCACCATACGAAACTGTAGCTTGTTGTACAGACATTTTGATAGTAGCGAAACCTAGAGGACCAACAAAACAATCAATGCCAATGTGCTATAAATACGAAGGAAAGATCAAGTTTACTTCAAGTACCTGTCATTTGCCACGACTTCAATGTCGACATCGGGTAACTCATCAGGTATATTGATCTGGTCTCCATCCCAAGATATATGACAATTCAAAAACTCTTTAAGATAATAGTGAAAGCCCCAAGCTGCAGCAACCCCGCTGGATGCTGTTATAGCCACACAATCATCCATTTTCTTTAACTGTAATTACAAATTAAAGGTACCTAATGAGATTAATTGTAAGTTAAATTAATAATACAGAAAAATATATAGCTTTAATTAGAAACATAAGTTTTTTTGTTAGTGTTTTGTAGTGCGAGAAAATATCGCAATGTATATATTTCATCGTAGCAATGAGTGGTTCAATACATAGATTTTCAAGATTATATCTTTAGTCATTGCAAATAATTTGGTAAGGAGATGAATTGTCCTCATGAATTAAGAGTATTAAGAAGATTTGTCATCTGTCGAATCTTCTGTAATCAGAAAGAAATTTGGTAACTCACAGATTTCTTCTATTGCTCAGTATGATTTTTGTTACTATGAGTTATTATGCTTTCACAGCACGCAGAAGACTAATGAGTTGATCGAAATATATATATATTTTTTTAAGGTAATAGAAAAACAATTTTATTTTTGATAAATATATTATTGATTAATTTAATAGAGCATATTTGTATTTTTAAACTTGTTACAATCCTTTCTAATCCGACCATCTATGGTCGATTATTCTAATAATGTTTGATTTTCAATGAAAAATATTCCACATCTCTCTATTATATAACAAAGTTTTTAGTGGCCTTTTTATCCTTTTAGGCTATAGAGGGCTTTCCTGGGCCAGGGAGTGAGAGCGGAGGATTAATACCAGAGTTAAAAGACCCTCTTCCCAAGCACACAGTGGGAGGAGTAAGGGAAAACTGGCGACATCGGCTATATCTATTTTGTTTTTTTTACTCCAAAAACTAGATAAACCGTTTTATTTTATTTTTTATCTTCTGGAATTTTAAGCTGAAAGTTGTAAGAATATTGAAGAAGAAGTTGAAGCTGGAAGAATATTTTAAGCTGGCAGAATATACGTTTTTGTTACTGTTTACAATTACTACAATTGAAAAAAATAATAATAGGTTTAGCCGATGCCGCGAGTTTTCCCTTGCTCGTCCCAATGTGCGGCTCCGGGACTTGATCCAATAATCTGCTAGACAAGGCAGGGTGCTGTGCACACGCGTTAGCCCGTTCGGCCACACTGCCTCCAAGCTTTTAGTGCACTTCTAATATTTTATTACCAAAGAAAATAGTGACCGTGTCGATAAAAATCCCTGGTGTGAGGCAGCAGTAGCACCAGTAGTGGCATGAAGCCGATAACAGTAGGAGTCAGCTGGGTCCATGGCCAGGAAGCATCAGGCAGAGCAGGAGTCAGACAAAAGGCTGATGTACTGCGCAGGATAGGTAGAGCTCTTAGCTGAGGAGAACGCAATCTACCAAGGGATCCCAACTCCTGATAAACGGTGGAACCCCATTATCCTTGGGGAAGAGGCATCTTCTGCTGGGCTAATCACTCGCTGGAGAGAATTATTGATTCAAAGTACACAAAGCTGCCTCGGATTAGGACAGATACAACGGTTAAGATACGGCGCTCGAACGGACATCAGATTCGGAACGTGGAACATAAAGACCCTGACTGGCAAAGAGATTGAAATAGTGGAGGAGATAGAGGCCTACAGGGTAGACATACTGGGAACTGGCGAAGTAAGGAGGAAAGGATAAGGAGAAGTAAGACTCGACAAAGGCTATGTGCTTATTTACACAGGAGTGGCGGCCGGACTGAGGGCCAAGGAGGGGGTTGGCATGATAATGACTGAAAGGCTGTTTGCCGAAATTGAAGTGATTGAGAGCCAATCTCTTCAAGAATAGCAGTGGCAAACATCAACTGGAACTATCAATAGGAAGAGTAGGTGTTGTACAAGTATACGCCCCAACTGAGGATGGCGATGTTCTAGATAGGGAACAATTCTATGCGGATATAGAAAGAGAAACCATAAGAGGTCAAAACCAAAACAGAGCCATTATTATAATGGGTGACCTAAACGGAAGGACTGGAAGAGACCAAGCTAGAGCACACAGTGTAATGGGACTACAGAGAAGTGAGCATACCAGGAATAGAATGGTTAGAGGCTGATAGAACTCTGCATAGATTACTCTGCATCTTCTTAATGGGAACTTCATATTTCCACATAAACTAGTCCATAAGATCACGTTTTCTAATAAGCAAAGAAATACAAATAACATTATAGATTATTTTATTATACAGCAGAAACATCAGAAGATATTTTAGATATAAAAGTCATAAGTGGGGTAGAAATATGGTCAGACCATTAACTATTGATTGCAGACACTCAAATTCTCCAACCTAGGAAAAATTTTAAGAAGAAATAGTTCTACATATCCATCATTGAACGAAAGTTGAGAGAAATCGTAGAAGGAAACCTCGAAGAAGAGCAGTCATCATTTAGACCGCACCGCCAGACCGAGGACCACGTATTCTCTCTTAGGAACATCATTGAAAAGGCATGGGAACGAGGGAAGAGCATGTTACTAGCTTTTCTTGATATCAAGGCGTCATTTTTTTCGGTTACTAGACAAGAAATAAGGGCAGCTCTAGCCGAAAAGAATGTACCCAATGCATTAATAGTGCTGTAAAACCCAAGTACCGCAACATAAAGGGTGTAATAAGAATAAATGGAAAGGAATCCGAACCTTTCGAAATGAAAAAATCTGGTGTGTCCTCTCACACCATAAACTCACACATTCCTATATATTTCAGAAAAGTTTTTATATCTTTACATATTTCCATCAAGAAATTGATAATAATAAATAATAGTAATTCTACTTATAACAAATAATAATAATTCTACTTATAGTAAATAATTCTACTTATTTAATTTAGTATTAATTTGACCGCACCCCCCGATCAACTCCTTCTCATATTTTCCTGAAAATTGATCAAAGAAAAGATGTGAGTACAATTTATTCGATAAACTAAAGCAATGTGAACCGCCTCAAGGTAGATCAGTGTAAAAATTTCAATACCCTCTAATATTGCTGTTTCTGTTGAAAGTACATGAAATAGTGAAATTTGTGTTATGCGGGCAACAGATTTTCTTACTTTCACTTTTTTTCTCTCATACACCCCTTTCTAACACCAAGATATGAACCAGTAATCTTACATTGAAAATTGATAGCTGTAACTTCGTTAATAGTTGTCCTAAATGAACGATTTTTATACAGTTTTCTAGGGAATTTGTAATACAACACAATGTGTATTAATTACCTCAAAAGTTTTATTATAAATTTTACCATAGAATATATACTTAGCGAGTTAGGCCCCAAAACATTTTTCTTTTCTTTGTAACTGTTTTTCCTGAATTTTCTCGGGAACTTAGTTCATATTTTAAAATTGAAAGGACAATTAATAAAATAAGAAGCAACAAAATCGGTTTAGTAGTTCCCGAGAAAATTTTGGCACAGACAGACCAATGCCTAAAAATGTGTTTTTCGAAATCAGGTGCCTCTGAAACGTATAGGTCCGTCAAAAACCGCATATCGGAAATTTGATCCGATTTCAATACTTTCCTTACCTAGGTAGGAAAATAATAAATTAAAATAGAAAATAGAATATGCTGTATCATCGCTAATACTGGTTGGATTCTGATGAACGTCTGCCTAGTAAGGTCAGTATAGCTTCTTCACCGTTTTCATTGGCTAAAATAGTACATTACAAGGTATATAATTTTTTGTATGAGAATAAAATCTCTGGGAGAGGCCAATTCGGAAATACAGTTATCCTTCAACATTCGCAGGTTTGATATCCATGCATTTATTTTATCAGCTAATATTAAAATGCGAATGAGTGCCGTAGTTGAAGATTCCATATTTTATTATCCTCAAATAAAAAAATAAAAAAATGCATACTGATCATGCATTTCAGTACTGTTAGTGCGAAAGGTCGTATGTAAAAATTGATTGTTTTGCAAGAGTCCATCAAAACTCATTATTTCTTTATCCTTATTAGTATAATTTTATATTTTATTGTCATCTGCTATTTTCCTCATTTTTTTTTCTACTATTTTCTGCTGATATAAGTAGTATCAGTTGCAGACTACTAAATGTCACCTTTAGCACAAATAGAATAAAAGTTGAAAATTTTTACATACGACCTCTTGCACTAATAGTAGTGATATATAATTAATAGATATCTTTTCATTCGTAAAATGGATGGAACTAGAAAATGCATAGGAAAAATTCAACTTGTTGTTTGTTAACGAGACAAATACTTTCCCTCAGTCAGAACAAAACAGTTTAGCTAGAAATATGAAAATATGGGTGAAGTTCAAATAACTTCCATATTTAAGGAGGAAATCGAGATCAAGACGAAGTGGTTGAACTTCAATGGAAATAAACACAATCATAAATAAGACGTTGTTTTTTTTACTAACTCAGAGAATAAATTACTTTAAATGTATTGAAAATTACACAAAATCTAAGTGTCATGCCAGTAACGTTTGGAATCGACCAAACAATACAGTATCAATTAAGTTTTTTAATAAAACCTAAAATTTTATAACTCCATAACAGTATGGTAATAACCTAACTCCCACTCCATATGATCAGTGCCTCACGGGCGGATCTACGGGGGGCTTTCGGGCTGAAGCCCCCCCCCAAATGGTAAAATATAACCATGTTTTATCGAAAAAAATATTTAAAAAGTATCTCTTAATGTATTATTGTTCGTATAATTACATTAAAAAGGGCATTAGTAATCACTTAAACACCATTTCATACAGATAGTTAGTTTCTTTCTTTTTTTCCAAAGTAATTATCGTTATTTTTATGAAAAAAAAAGCTTTCGGGCTGAAGCTCCCCCAAAATGAAATCCTGGATCCGCTAGTGCAGTGCCTTCAACATTTCCCAGTCATTATATTATTAACAATTATTTATATTAATTTTAATTATTAAATGAAATTGATACTAAGTAATTGGTATGATGCTCATATGGTGATTACTAAATAGAAAAGTTTAATTTGAATTTGCTCTCAATATTTTCATAAATAACTTTGAGTTCAGAAGTTATTCTTTTGAAAGTAAGTAGACCAATCCAAACGTTGACGGATAGGTTTGGAATAGAACCTTTACAAAATTGGTATTCACATCGACGAGACACATGCCCACCAGTTTATATCGGCGGCAACCAAATTCTTCAGACTGACACAGTACATTATCTTGGGATATTATTCGACAGAAGGATGACCTGGGTTCCACATGTCAAAATGATGAAACTAAAGACTTTAAACAAACGACTGAAAATACTATGCTCCCTTTTTTCCAAAGAAAAAACTAAATACCTACACTAACCTACTCAAACCCATATGGACATACGCCTCAAAAATTTACGGTTCTGCAAAAAAGACGCACTTAAAAAAACTAAAATCATTTCAATCCAGATTTTAAGACTAATAACAGCAGTTCTCTGTTACGTAATGGTACGTAAACAACAAAAGTTTACTTACCGACTTACAACAACCAACTATCGACCAACACATATGTTCTCTCTACTACCGATTTCATCTTAAACTACACGGACATCACAACGGACTTATGAACGTCATGGCCACAGCTGAAATGGCCATCAGGAGACGACTAAAGAGAAGCTGGGTGATAGATTATGAAGTAGGCCAAGACCAGGAAGAGGTACTGCTGGATTCTAATCTTCCTCATGCCTTAAATGACAATTTTCTTTACAATGAGATCACATGTGTTTATTGTAAATACTATGACAGGTGTGGATAGAACTATGAAGAGAGAGAGAAAAAAAAGAAATTTCTATACCGTTCTCCAAATTTCCTCCAAGTTTGGGTCAAATCGAAGCGTCGTTTTCAAACTATAGGCATATCAAATAACATATTTCCTGATCTGAAAGCGGAAGTATTTTTTTTTTGGAGTAGTAGATAGATTTTGATAAAATTGATGCCTGTTCCATTTTACGTTTACTAATCCCCAAATTCCCTCAAAATTTGAGTCAAATTGAACTTGCGGTTTTAGAAATATAGAATTATCAAGAAAAACACGTTTGCGCATATATAAGAGAAAGCAACAGACGGAATTCAATAAAATTGACACTACATTATTTTTATTTTATTTTTATTTTTCACAAATACCTACCTTTTATCCAATTTTGAGCCAAATCGAACGAGTGTTTCTGAAGTATTGGCATATCTAAAAAGATGCGTTTGCGCGTGCATAAGCGGAAGTGATGGTTAGAATTTAATAAAATTGATATGGGACCATCTATACACCAACCCTCACAATTCCTGAAAATTTCATGAAAATTGGATGAACGGTAGTAGGTGATATGCCAGCAACATCGATTTGACTACAGAAAGACAGACAGACAAACAGCCACTGAACCAAATTTGATCCTTGTCAGAAATGTAAAACGTGAGTGGAAATTTTCAATTCTAAGCACAAAATTTGTTTTAACGTCTCTCACGAATACAATGCTTCCCTACCTTCGGTAGTGAGCAAGCAATATATTTTAGACCTAAGATGTGGAAATTCTGATAAGTTTTTAAAAAAAAAAAAAAGAGATTCTACAATAGAATATAGGAAACTGGAGTGAAGAAAGAATTGCCAATGACCCTATCGGGTAGAGACAAAATTTAAATAAATAAAATTAATTAATTTAATCAGGCGTCACTTAAATCATAAATTGTTCAGAAATGATATTAATTAAATCAAATGATTTAATATTCTTAATGTATATCAACTCTCATCTAATCTCATAACTCCTTTCCTGGCGAAAACAAACCCACTTTTTAAAGATATTATTGTAAAGTGCCATTTTTTGAGAAGTATGTATTGTGTATTTGTATCTTATTCTTTTTTAATTAAAATACAAAATAACTTAATTATTTTATATTTGAAATATTTTTTCTCAAAACAATTTAAATACTTCTTAATTGAAATACAGTATATATATAAAGAAATATCAAGTGTGATTTCATATAGTTTTGTTATATTAGATTCACTGATTTTTTAATTAGAATTAATAAATAATTATAAGTGCTATGGGCTATAATTAGGTATAAAGTAAATTGGATGCAGTGTTACCAAGTGTTACTCAATTTTGGTTTCTACTAACAAAACAATATTGATGATATTACGTTTTAATTATATTTAAAACTTTGTATCTGCAGTTAGCCCACATAACACAATAATGATAATTGGAAAGAAATTTCGAAATCCTATGATATAAATAAATTATTATTTTAAAAGTAACCGTTAGTAATTATACTTAATAATTATAAGATAGTTAATGTAATTTATATTCGATATTTTATTAGTTCTCATAGTGATCGCCAATAAAGGTTGTGTTAGACATAGGCGGGCACATTTTTACTGAGCTCTATGTTAGGGATCCCTCTCTAAGCAATATATGGGATTTGCTTGGTAAATACCAAAATTTAAATGTCTCCAATTCGCCAGCTTGCTGAGGCTAAAATGGATTGACTATGTCATTAGAATGGAAGACTACACAGGTGCCCTCTAACAGCTTAAAGGAACAGCCCAGGTGGGATGATTAATTCTTTTACTTTGTGGTGTAGGTTAAATAATTCGGAGACTTGCACAATCTTTTATTTCATCGTTACAATTGTACGGCATCTACCAGATGGGAACCAATCCGCATGGAGTAAAATCGTCAAAGTTTAACCTTAACCTTGGAAAATCTGGAAGCTTCATATATAAATATCTTCTTATTTGTGGCATGTCTAATTTTATCTCATATTTTATCCATTCTAAAATATCTCTTTTTAAATAGATTGATCAAACTTTACCTATGTATTCTTTTTTCTTTTAGATAGAGACATTGCATTCTTTTTCTGTTTATTTTTTCAACTACATTTATATTTTCCACCTGAACCAAAAGATTTTTTTTTCAGTTGAAATAATCTCATTAAAAAATAGCATAAAGTCTATTTGATTTATTATGAGTTGTACAACAAAATGTAATTACATATTATGTTAGATATATAAAATTCATGAAAGCTCACCCTAAAGAAGTCTCTATGATTGGATTTTATATGTGATTTTATGTGTGTTGTTGTTTTTATATGTGGAATTATGGTAACATTGAAAGACTCTGCTATTTCTTCATTCACTCTCTTCATAAGATCTTTGACGGCTTGTCCACACTTTTGAGGTTCTACTTCAGATCCTACCTTTTCATACAGTTCATCATAATCTGAAATAATAATTAAAATATATTAAATAAAACTGATAACAAAATTTAACAGTATTATCTAACATCAAACTAAGATATAGACACTACATATAACACCATATACACTTCCTCATAAATGGGGAAGAATGAAAATTCTGATTTCTGATAAATAAATAGACTGTAGGGTTTATAGGGAATAGATTTGATGTATCCTTATATTTTTAAGAGAGTTTGAAATAAGAAGGTTTCAAAAACTAAAGAGAAAATGTAGAAGAATATGATAACTAACGTACTTTTGTTATGTTAATTAGGTTGGTATTCGAAATCGAAATTAAATATATCGAGATGAGTTCTTTTAAATGTCCTGCTCTGTTGTAATTATCATATAGGAGCAAAAGCCAGCCGTGTTACTATGTGAGTTCTGGTCAACTCTGGTCCTCTTACTGGACGAAAAGCCATTAATCCATACTCATTTAATCTTCTCCGAGCGGTACGTTCAGAAATTTGCACAACGCGAACTTCTTCGAGCTGAAGAATCACTTGAACAACGGTAAGGTGCCGGTTTCGTAAAATTCTCAAAGTCAAAAACCGGTCATCACGTGGTTCTGTTAACCTAGGCCGCCCAGAACCGGGCCTTCTAATGTAAGAACCAGTTTCCCGAAAACGCCTGACGGCGTCTCGTAAAGTTTCATCTGGAACTTCGAGGACATTAGCTGCATATCTAATGGAACGTCCATCATCAATAAGTGCCACACCACGCGCAACATCCTCAGCACTAAGAGCCATTTTTAAACTTAATATTGAAAAAAATAAAAGCCGGAGACTAAGAAATGTGCTGCAAGAAACGGCACTGAACTAATGATACTTTTTTTTTTTTTTTTTGCACTTACATTTATTTATCCGCACCTGTCAATTATTATTGACAATCAGCAGATGTGCTGGCTTAGTAATGAGAGAAAAATAAAATAAAATAAAAAATAAATAAATAAAAAGGCTTGATAGGCATGAGGAATAGCAATACCCAGCGGTATCCCTTCCATGGCTTTTATTTACTAACATTATTTAAGCAGATCCCTCATCCAGACCCTTTTCAGTCGTCTTCTGGAGTTCTCGGGCATACTAGTTGTGGCCATTTCTTTTACCAGCTGGTTGGAGTGCCCGTTTAACATGTTATGAAATCGTTTGTAGTACGTTCGTATGTGTTCATTGACTGTCGGAACGTGTAGGTCGGTGTGCAAAGTGTGATTGTTTACGTACCATGGTGCTTGAGTGATTAGTCGTAGTATCTTAGACTGAAAAGTTTGAAGTTTATTTATGTGAGTTGGTTTTGCAATTCCGTATATTTGTAGTCCGTAAGTCCAAAGAGGTTTCAAAAGATACGTGTAAATACTTAGTTTCTGTCTTGCTTTTAATTTGGAAGGTCGTCTTAACAGTGTATGTAACAATTTTAGTCTTAGATTTAATGTGATTCGTTTTTTCTTCACATGTGGACCCCATGTCATTCTCCTATCGAACGTAAGGCCTAGGTATTGTACTCTGTCTGTTTGTGGAATCGGTATGTTGTCTAAGTATACAGGAGGGCATGTTTCTGGTCTTAGAGTAAATGTGATGTGCTGTGACTTTTGATAATTTATTTTAGTTTTCCAAAGTTTACACCAATCGAGTATAATTTGTAAGTGATGTTGTAAGTTAAGTGATGCCTCTGTAGGATTGTCGTGCCTGGTAATGATAGCAGTGTCGTCTGCGTAGGTTGCTGTAAGAGTGTGGATACTTTGAGGAATGTCGTGTGTGTATGTGATGTACAGTAGTGGGGCTAGGATTGATCCCTGAGGTACACCAGCTAAAACTGATCGAATTGAGGATAGACCTTGGCCATGTCGAACGGAGAAAAATCTATCTGAGAGAAAGGAATGGAGAATTAAGTAGTAAGTATGTGGAAGTATGGTCTTAAGCTTGAAGAGAAGCCCCTGATGCCATACTTTGTCGAACGCTTGGGCGACATCCAGAAATACTCCGGTTGCATATAATTTCCGCTCTAGTGCTGTAGAGATGTAGTCAGTCACCCTGTGCAATTGTTGTGTTGTTGAATGTAATTTTCGAAACCCGAATTGATGGTCAGGAATAATCTGTCTGTCTGTTAGTATATGTAATAGTCGTGGGTACAATAGTTTTTCGAATAACTTAGAACATAATGGAAGTAAACTAATCGGTCGATATGAAGAAAGGTTGTTAGTGTCTTTGTTTGGCTTTTTAATCATGGTTATGTGTGAGTATTTCCATTGTATAGGAAATTTGGTGGTCCTGAGAATGCAATTGAAGATTGTGGTAAGAAACACTAGAGCTTTCCTTGGCATTTGCTGGAGCGCCTCAGCAGTTATCAAGTCATGACCAGGGGTTTTTCTTTTGGGCAATTGTCTAATTTCTTGTGCGACTTGTGATGGTGTGAAAGGAGGTGGTGGTAGTGTGAGCTGTAGCGGTATGTCTAAGTTATTATGTACAAAAATATCGTGTTCTGTATTAATTAAGTCTGTATGTGGTTTAAAAACAGTGGAAAGATGGTTAGCAAAGAGTTCAGATCTTTCCTCGTCCGAAACAGCCCAAGAGCCATCCTCTCTTCGTAGGGGTGCTGACACCTCACGATGCTTTAAAAGATTCCTTGTATGTCTCCATAAACTTCCATCGTCCGTCGAAAGGTTGTTAATAAAATTGTCGTAGTTTGTGCTTTTGAATTTTTTAATATGTCTTTTAAGTTCGTTGTTCAATCTGTTAAAAGTTTGTCGGTCTGAAGGAAGTCTGTTAGTCTGCCATACTTTACGTGCTCTTCTCTTTGCTCTAATCAAGTCCCTTATGTACATTGGATAATGGGGCAAGTTCGCTGCTTTTTGTGGCCTGGATGTTGATGAGGCCCATGCTGCATCTTGTATGCTTTTTGTTAATTTTTCAACAGCTTCTTCTAATTCCTCATGATTTTTAATTGAACCTGGAACGGAAAGATTGGTATTCAAATAGTCTCTATATGCGTCCCAGTCCATGCAGCCTTTTATGGGCCTAGTTCTTTTTTGTGTTTTGGAAGGCTCATCGAAGAGAACCATGTGCACTGAGGAGTGATCAGAACAAAGATCGGAGGTTGCATTGACGGCAAATGGTACGGTTCTTAGTCCTTTTGTAATAAAGAAATCAACTAAGTCGGGAGTTTTGCGTCTGGAGGTGGGCCAATAAGTTGGTGAATTTGGTGTTACAGTGTCTAATGAAAGTTCATGGAGGACAGACCACAGATTTCTGCCTCTTGGAGTACACAACCTTGAGCCCCAGCCTTGATGCTTAGCATTATAGTCTCCACCTGCGATGAAGCATCTTCCGAGGCGTTTGAAGAACTCAGAAAACATCGTGGGTGTAAGCTTATACCTAGGGGGACAGTAAACTGAGGCAAATGTTATAGTGTAGTGTTTAGTGTATAGTGTTATTCCTGTCGATTGCATGTCGGGTGTAATGGGTAAGTCTATGGGATTGTGTTTCAGTGAATTTTTGACGAGTATAGCTGTTCCTCCATGTGCAGTTTTATCTGGGTGATCAGTTCTGTAAATTGTGTAATCCTGGATGTAAATTTTTGATCGGGATGTCAGGTGTGTTTCTGTAATGAGTGCTACGTCGATTCGTTTTTCGTGCAAGTATAAGTCGAGTTCAGTACTGTGCTGTTTCAGTCCGTTGGCATTCCTACAGGACAAGGAGCCTACAGTTAAATTATTGTGGGCCATAATTTGGGCACCAGACCTGTGTAACCTGTGACAGTTGTTGAAGAAGAATGAAAAGAAGCTGGATTAGGTTATTTAATCCATTAATTATATTAAATAATTGAGAAGAGCCATTATCTACTGGAGGTATCGGTTGGTTAATGCCTCTCCTCGTACCTGTACATGTTTTCTGGTTCGGGGGTGCTGAACTAGATGATGTTTGGTTTTGTTGTTGCTGAGGTCCTGCGATGATCTGTGGTTCCCCTTGGTTGTGACGTTGCCGTATTGGAGGGAATTCATGCATGCCTGGAGGTCCCTGCGCTGGCTCTGCTACTGTGGAACGCTGAAGACGATTTCATGCATTGCGCTGAAACCTAAGATCTTTCAGCGTCTGGCAGCCTCTGTAATTAGCAGGGTGCTGACCGCCACAGTTGGCGCATTTCGCGGGGGTGTCTCTCGTTTTCAAACATGAGCTGGTTTCATGATATTCGCCGCACTTTACGCATCGTGGTCGATGGTTGCAATAAGTTTTAGTGTGCCCATATTGCTGGCACCGAACATACTGAGGAATATTTCTGTTTTGACGCGGTTCCTCAATTTTAATATGTGAATAATAAAGAAATTCAATACTAAAAATTTCTTCTCTAAATGTCTCTTTTGTAATGTCCACAAAGAACATAGGAAGGGGTTTTTTTAATCTAGATATGACGTTAACTACATTGGTGGCTTCGTAACCCAATTTTTTAAATTCCTCTTTAATGATATCGATTGGTGTTCCATGGTGACTAATGATACTGAATAAACATTTTGATTCCATAGAAAGTAAACATTGGAATCTAGAATCATTTTAATGAATTAAGGATTAAGGGTTATTGTCCTCTATATTAACATTTCTAATTGAAAACAAACAAAAAAAAGATTATCTATTTATTAATTAAAAACAATATACCAATCCACAGCAGAAATATTTTTAGATGAAAAAATCAATTTTCATCAGGGTGGAAATTTTTGCCTGGCAGTGTATTTCAACTAAAGGAGAATCGGTAATATATTTGTGCATCATCGATAGATTGCTTGAAATATGTAGATCAGTTTATCACATAGTGTACATGCGATTGTGGCAAACAGCTCAAAGTGTTTTATTACTTTTCAAGTGATTACAGTTAGTTTTCGTGTTGTTGTTTTTTTTTCGTTATTGGGCATGATATAAGTAGTTTTAGTTATTGTAAATACGAACAGTAGAAATGAAGGTTAACCTTACGGTTTTCTCCAAAACTGTAACTTTCCTAA